CCACTTGCCATTAATAAAACACACTTTCACCTCGGCCATGTTGTCTTCCTTGTTTTTTACTACATGCGAGTCTACAGGTAGACCACTCACCTTCCTAATTAGGAAGGTGGTCCTACAGCGATAAAACAAGCTTTAACATGTAGCGGAATGGCGTCCGAATACATGACAATAAATTTAAAAGCAATTGGGGAGGTGATTGTAGTGTAATCAAAGACATCGCAATTTGGAAGCGGGGTTGGGTACGAATGTGCAATGAAAATCATCTTGACAGGCTGTGCTTAAATTTGGGTTTCATTCTCCTGAGTCCTGACAACGAACATCGTTTACTTGTTCTCCACAACCCACTAGCAAGATTAGCTACATGAGGCCATGGTAAGTGACACATTGAGAATGGCCATCGGATCTGCTCTTTGAGCCATTAACGTTAGTTCACCTTCTCTTTCAATGGCGCCATCGCAACGACTTCGATAGCTCATCGCTATAAACCAAACCTGATACACTCAACAGCAATCGCGACCATGCCCTTTAGCACAGCCAACATACGACAGGGTTTCATAGCTGGATTGGATTGAAGATGACCACGTTTCACGAGAAGGGAATTGCTATAGTGGTAAAAGACGATAAGGTAGAAGGGGAATCTTGTCATTGTTATCAGTTATCATGTACATAAATGCCCTTTTTTTACTCGATTGGATTGTAATTGCTGGGATGCAGTGGAGGCAAAGTATTGGGTATGGTCTTTGTTTGGGTTATAGTTGGCTACTTCTTTGTAGTTTATTGCTACAACTAGTACTATCAGCGGATTACAATGCTGATTCTTGGAAACAATGTCAAACGTGCATCAATGTTTAGCATCTACTCGATTTGAATTCCATTTGTGATTGATTGCTCATGTACAGATCTAAGGAGTAACAAATGATCGAAATAAAGTAGCCAAGTTGAATATCCTTGCAATGAGAAACTGCGTGGGTGTTAAATACAACCATCATGCATGATACGATTTAGATGATCGAGTGGGAGGGAGTTCGTTGTTGCTACATTTGAAATGCATAATCAGCTTGTTGGATATCCTCTTGAAAACACGTACCGCATTACAAGCTCACATTCTAGTAGCTAGCTTGGATACATATCTTGGTACTGGATCGATACACAGCAGGACTAAAAACGAGATCCAATCATCCTCGCTTCTTACCGAACACGCATACCAATATTAGGAGTAGATTGACAACGCTGTAAGTCACCTTTGTAATAAGGGGGATGTGCATTAGGCGTACAAATGATTGATTTGCTTATAGATTAGATTTCTTATCGCCTGCCCCAAAATAGCCAATGTATGCATAGACAACATTGCACTAGGCTCCTCAGACTTAATCCTGGTGTATGCTCCCCCATCACTTTATCAGCTCACGCATTAATTTATCAATCATCCCCAATAGACATAATACCCACGCCCACAATGCACAATAAAAGGATGTTGTCGCCGCCCATCGTTCTACCACACGTCTCTTACCTCTGTCATTACTTTTTTTTTGATTGCTTACAAGGTCAAATAACCAAGGTTTGTGTATGTCACATCTTTCAACCTGGAAATGAGCGCTGGTCCTTGTGGTCATTCATAGGGGTGTTCTTTGTTCTTGTTTTCATTGACAGGGCTGGTGCACACACACATTTTCACATTAAAAAAAGTCAATTCTTGTAGTATACGTATCCTTTATCTTATGTCACCATGTGTGCGTACATGTAAAAGTAGTAATCAACCCATGCTGCTAAACGATCGATGCCACCATCACCATGTGGTGGGAATTTACATGTGGATGAAGCTTGATAAGGGAACTATATTTTTCCATACATAGCCCCACTTGTCCATTCCATTGGATCGCCTCCCTCTTATAATGATGAGCTATTGTGTAATGATGCATGTCCTCGGGATGTGCATTTTCCCGTATCCCTTTCTTGTTGTCCTCTTTCTTTGGACATATTAGTAAAGAGGTGATGTTGGCCTTCAGCACATGATTCCATCCTTTTCTTTCTCTCACGCCAATCATCATAGGTTCTGGATCGTTCCATACAATACGCATATCACTCACTGAGAGCCCAACAGTGGTGTTGTCTTTTATCAATGCACCATGATAGCGGATACATACATCCCACCACCCTAATCAAATCCAAGCAAAGATCTACAAGGATGAATTAGTTGCCTTGCTTTTTTGGATGGCAATTGTTGGTTATTGTTGTTACGTAGCTGATGCTCATAGTGGATGACAAGAAAAGGCTCAAGGATCAACATGATTGTATGTAGTACAATTACATAGACGACGACACGATTAAGCTTTATTGGAAGCTTGCATAAGGAAATCATAGAAACCAGCTATGATACAAAAGACTGGGGAAGGGAATGGAGCCATACAAGGTGTTGCTATGGAAACGTCATAGTTGCAAGTTGTTGAGTTTTTTGGTGCGTATATGGCCATGTTGTTGTTGCCGGTGGTGGTTGCGTGTTATCTTACAATGGGTGATGGTGGTAATGGTGGATGGCTCTATCATCATCATCATGATCGGTGATCATCATCATGTCGATCCTTTCGCTGTACATTTACGTTCATGCCTTACTTTGCTATCGTTTCGGGTGAATGAATTGGAACAGTGGTCACAGACGTATCGCTTTCTCACGTGTTTGGACAAGTTGTGGCGTCTAAGATCACGATCTCGCGTGAAATGGATGTTGCATTGTTCGCACGTGATACTGTATCCTTTAGCAACGCGTCTTTTCTTTGCGGCTGTTGGCTGTGAGGAACTACTACTTTGTAAACTGGATGCCTCATCGTAGTTGTCATCATCGCCATGATGACTTGATGTTGTTGTTTCATTGTCATCTGCCTCTTGCCTACTACCGGAAGAACGACCTCGTCGTTTTTTTCGTTGATACAAATTGGTGGCCCATATTGCTTGATGTGCACGCTGTTTCCAATCTTCGATTTGAGAAACAGGAGCCGAGGACGTTTCGATGGTGGTTGTAGTGGATGTATGGCTTGTAGTAGGCTCCTCCGTTGTATTGTCAATGTTGGTGGTTGTGGCTGGAGATGAAATGTGTGCTCCATGAAAAGCAGCAGTGTTTGACAGCTCTGATAAACAAGTACTGATGGAGCTAGGAGAACCAGGAGCTAAATTGTTGTTACCAAGATGTTGATGATTGTCATTCGTTGACAATGCAAGGTGGCCATCATCGTTGGCAAGCAAGCTTGAAGCATGCATGTTTGGATCATAGAATGCATGTTCTTGATGTCCATCATCATAAGCTGGACGTAGCCATGCTTGCATGAATAGGGTAGATGATGATGGATCTTGATCAACATACTCGTGTTGTTGTTGATGATATCGGATTTGCTGTCGTTGTGGAAGGGGATACTGCAAAGGTGATGTATGTTGGTCATGTTGAGAGCTAAGACTCTGTTGTAAGCATCCATGTCATAAGGGTAAAAATAAATCATTACGCTGTACCTGCCATTGGGATCTTGGTTGACTGCTTCTGGAGGTGCCAAATTATCCATTGGGATCGTCAAGCAATCGTTGAACGGCTCTACTATAGTGGCTGGATAATTCATTGCGCACAACAAGGACATTCAGGGATGTTTGAGCCTCATTCCTTCTTCTCACCAGCCACGCCTTTATATACCTTGCTTCGTATGTCGCTGTAAGGAGTTGTATAGTTGTACATATGGCTGATGCACTTTAATGCCGTCTGCTGTAGACGAGGTCACACGAGTCATTCTAAAATTAACTCGCCCAAAGTCGAGTGGCGCGATTTGTGTAACAAAGCAGATCTCACCTTTAGTTGCATAACGATGACGATATTAGGTGCTTTTTTCGTTTATAAGGATGGGTCCTCATTTTATCATCCCCATTCTACGTTGGATGGAGAAACCATCAAACATGCATGAGTGCGATTGAGATATATATAAACAAGAGATTGCATGGTATCTTCGAACCAGGGGGTTTGTTAACGATGATCCCGATCTTCTGGAAAGGTAACACCGCGGTCATCTTATAATGACGCGAGTGTGGCACAAGTGTAAGACGACCTTCCCCACTTTGACTTGGATCATGCTGCGCCTGTAAACCTTGTTGCACTTTAACGCATTCATGTTTCTATATTTATGCCACAGCAATCTCGCGCCCTGCTTTCAAGTTTATCATGCAATGTTCTTTGGTGAGCGTGTTGCACACGTTGCACACGTCTCATCTTGCTGCTATTGTCCCAACATGACCATTACAGAGGATGGTGAATCGTAGTGAGGGATGCGTTGTATAGAAGAAACAACGCGTGTAGCATTGCGTTGCTATGCAACAAGTTGCTATGGGGAATGTCCCATTCCTAAAGAGGTGTTATTACAAGAATCTGAGCTTTTGCATAAATCTGGATGATGCATTTCAATCAACCGTGTTACTCACTCCGATTTCTTTCTCATTCTCTCATATACATACAAATGTCACCTATTTCCAATTTTCAAGAGCGCACGCATTCTGACACCATTGTGCTATTCGATGTTGATGGTACCTTGACACCAGCCCGCCAGGTAGGCTACTTGATCCATTTGCGGCATTACATAGCACAAGGCTCATCACGTTGCATATTAGACGGTGTCCCAGGATATGCTCGACACGCTATCCAACTTGCGTCAAAAAGTGGTGATTGGCTTTGTAGGAGGCTCAGATTTGAGCAAGCAATTAGAACAGCTTGGGCCTAAAGGTAATCATATTGTGTATACAAAGGTCATTCTTTTTCTTAATGCTCCCCATTAGTACTTGACAACTTTGATTATTGTTTTGCTGAGAATGGCCTCACCGCCTATAGATTGGGCGAACAGATGAAATCTCAGGTATGCATGTGATAGGGTATTGGTTCACTACACGTGCCGATCTCACACGAATGCCATTGTAGAGCTTTATTGAATGGATCGGTGATACCGAATACAATAGGCTGGTCAAGTTTATCTTGCATTACATTGCTGATCTGGATATCCCAAAGAAACGGTAAGCTAAACGTGTACCGGCTTGTGGGCAAAAAGATAACAAATGATGGCCCATGTTATAGGGGTACATTTATTGAGTTTCGCAATGGCATGATTAACGTGTCACCTATTGGACGCAATTGCACACGCGAAGAGCGTAACGAATTTGAAAAGTTTGATCTTGCCCGTGGTATCCGTGCCAAGTTTGTCGAGGATTTGAAAAAGGCGTTCCCACATCTTGCCCTGACGTACTCAATTGGGGGTCAAATTTCCTTTGACGTGTTTCCCACAGGATGGGACAAGACCTATTGTTTACGTCATATCAAACAAGAAGGCTTCAAGACCATTCACTTTTTTGGCGACAAGACATTTCAAGGTGGCAATGATTATGAAATCTACACCCATCCCGAGGTGACCGGTCATTCAGTCACTTGTCCACAAGACACTATGGCCATTCTCAAGGATCTATTTCAATAAAGGGAAACAAAAGGGGGGGAGGGTAAATCCCAACTCATCCTCCCTTAAATTCGGATGTTTGCCTTTTGTGGCCGAATAGGTCTACATCACCCCAAACTTGCAACAATGAAACACATTATGTGTGTGTATATTTGTCAATGTTGTTGTTTGATGGTCACATAAATGGAATGACGCAAAAATTGAACAATGGCATACATAAGCGATTATTGGATGTTGATGGAGCATGGTTGGTAGGGGGGAAAAGAGAGCATAATGTGTTGGTTGTTACGCATATATGATGTCGCATAAGAGATATGGGAAATGAAAATTCATCATTGTGAGGAGGTACCATTACCCCCGTGACGCGTGTGCTGATGATGAGGATGATGATGATTGATGCTTGCAGGCATTGATGACAGGGCATGATCTGGTTTGATGACGTTTCAAGGTATCTTTCCTAGTACAAGTGATGTTGCAATACTCGCAAGTGTATAGCGTGCGTGGGGGTTTGTGGATAAGCTCATGTCGGTCTCGATCACTGCGTCGAGTAAAGGTGGCACGGCAATTATGGGACACTCGGCATAGGTAGTTACCCCTTTCTGATGAAGAAGGAGTGCTAGCAACAGGTGATGAACAAGATTCTGATGTCGGTTGTAACGCAACAGTGCCTCTGTTGTTGTTGCTTTTGGTATTTTGAGGATACATTGTTTGAGGTTGTAATGGTTGCTGTTGCTCTCTGCTGCTGTATATAAGCTGAGGAGATGATGTTGTTGGTAACGGCATTGCTATAGGTGTAAGATCAGCAGGTGCCATCAATTCTGGAGATGAAGAAGACATGAATGATGGCTGTTGTTGTTGTGTTGAAGGCATAGGTAAGGATGATGATGGTGAAGAACCTATTGGTAGGTTGAGCGTGCCCCAATAGAGAGGCTGTTGGTCTACATCGGTGAGGAATACAGGTTGTTGTTCACCCATAGAGGATGGTGACAATGATGGTACAGGTTGAGCCGATGCAATAGCATAATCTTCAGGCAATTCGACAGCATCGAACGCAATTGTTTGATCGAGAATATGTGAAGGTAGTACAGCAGCATTCTGATTTGCCATTAATGGTGCAGTGTTTGCATTTGACATTTGAGTTTCTTCTTGGTGTTCTGAGATGAAAATCGAATCCATTGTTCGATGTTGTTGACGATCGTTTTCAGCATAAGGGTCACTAATACATTGTTGGGAGTTGTGGGGCCATTTACATGTGAGTATCTAACCCCAAAAAAGCAATGATCAACAACAGCAACTTACAATTCTAATTCTTGTGGACGTGCTGAGCTTCCTTCAAATGCAATAAAAGCTGCTGTCGTCGATGCTTCTGTAGGTGGATTGCGTTGTAGGTTGTCGTTCATAGCATGCTGATAAACGACGATTAATCATTTGATCAAGGATAGAAGAAAAAAGTGAAAAGCTTCATACTGCACTGGTTGGCTAACGATTGAAGAAGAAGCATTAGCTATTATGAATGATAATAGCAATCAACGAATGTAAAAGAAAGAGTCAATGAAAAGAAGTGGACCAAATGAAGATCAAAAAATCGTTGTCCTTTTATATAAGAAGGGGAGGAGAAAGCTACCTCTATATAAATGTGCCCTGTGGCTGATATACATGGTGTCTTGGCTGTGGCATAAGAACAGCTAAAAACTGGCAGAACAACTCCCCCCTCATCTAAACGAATAACAAAGAACACTCGCTTTCTGAGTTGCTACCAAAACAACATCTTCACAAGGAGAGACACAGCTGCAATTCTTTTAGGTACAATCCAAAAAGTCTCGACAGAAATACTCGCTTCTCCTGTATTTGGTGTTTTCAGTGTTAGTGTGAGGGAAAGGGAGGAGGTGCTTCGTGCATATGAAAGATCATACAGCCATCATGCGTGAATGATACGTAGAACATTTGGTTAACATGCATAAAGACTTCTAGAATATGCTGACAGCAAGTTTCCATGGACGTAATCGCCCCTTTATTTCTGCAGGCACACGTTGGTCAACTTTGTGCCCCGTGTCACAGTGTACATTTCATCCATCCTCTTTCATTGTCTACTACTTGTATGTTTCTTTGTATATTTGACACCATTGTCCTCGATTGAGCATTAATGGTTCTCATGTGATTAATCGCTTGGCTGAGAATGGACATAGGTTGCCTCTCTTTTCCTCGTCCCCTTCTTTATTTCCTGACGCCACGGTGCTCACCATTGCAACTACTCTACTCAATCGACATGCTCTTTGCCTATGTTGTGCCCCAATTGCAACTCATCGGTGATCAGCAACACCTTTATTCTCGTTGAGGCGACGATTTGCAGGACAATGACACACCACCACCCAACACGGCACACGACAACGTCCACGTTAGAATGGTACATAGTTACCAGGCAACGACTGTATGTTTAATGGTATGGAATACTACAATGGTTATACACAAGCTTCTTACGGCGACTATCAGTGTGCATGATTATACCGACAAGATAATGCTATGAAGAAAAAATGGCACGAATTGCTCCATCCACAGTAAGTATGTATAGGAGAACAGTATACATTCGATAATAACAAGCTGACATGCTGGTATTAGCCACGATGCTTCCGTTTGGATGATCGCAATTGGCAGGGTGTTGTCACCACCAAGAGATGGGCTGCATGAGTTACAGACCGCTTGTACGACCACACTAGGAGCTTACTGCTGAGACAACAAATGACATCGAGAGCATGGTACGTATATTACATAAACCGGGTAATTTCTTGCAACCTCCCTAATCCCTTGTATGTATCCATCAGCGACATGACTTGTATTGCGATACGGTGGCTTCTCCTTCGATCACCAAGTATGGCAACAAGGTGCTTGACCACTTTATCAACCCAATCAATCAACGATCTCCTTTTCTTGCATGGACAACAACTCTCACGCCCACCCACATATAAACAAGGATGTTGCCGCCAGCACTATTATCATACCTCTTTTTCGTCTATTTGATTGCATATGTATCCCATCATCAACACCTTGTGGTAAGTGTCAAGGAGCCTATGTGATTCCACGCATGAATGAAGGTTGCTCATGCATTGATCCTTTTAATCATCCCTGCTGTAGTGCTTCGTTGCTCTTTGTGTTCATTCTTTTCTTTGTGATATTTGACCTTATTCCCTGATGAATCCTTATTTGCGGTGTATACATGGTCGTTCTCTCCCTCCTCAAGCACAAGGCAATCCGCACCCAGAAGCAAGTTGAGGATCATGGGCAACATGCACGGGATAGAAGGGAGATTTCACTGATTGTGGTCATCCGCCGCCACATAAGAGGAACTCAGCTTCACAGCCAAATGGTGATTCGTGCTCGTAAGACAATGGATATCGACTTGCCAATGGAGAAGGACACAATCAACATTGGTCTCAATACTATGATCAGCGATGAAATGCATATGATTGGACATCTCTTATTCGGCTTGAAGCTGCAAAGCTGGCATGCCTCTATGTCACAATGCAGTGCGAGGCAACCAGGCATTCTCAAGCAGCGACATATTTTGGAAAGTGGCATTACCAATCCTTTGAAGAAGCATTTGAAAGACGTGCACGGACCGGTAAGAGATACGGAAGCAGAAACATGATGCCATTGATATTTACCTTCATGCGTATAGGACATGCAACTCTTGTGTTCAGCAGATGGCTGTGGAAAACGCTTCAAAGACCAAACCACTTGACGGCGAATACCTCGGTCAGATATTGATGGCATTCGCAGCAAATCGATGTCATTCAAGAAGATTAAATGTGTACTTGTATTTCATACAAGACTCGTGCGACTCATCACATTGAGCCGTATCGAAGGCATGGAGTACGAGAAAGTGGAGCTTCTAAAAACGACGTGGATCTTCGCTTGGTGATCAATGATCGTAACAAAGGTAAGCGGTGTTATATCTTTTGGGGCTACACATGGCTGGCAAACAATCGTTGACTAAAGCAACAAAAAAAAGCGGCAGATTGCTCTCCCACAAATGACAAGCCGGTCTTTTCTCTATTGTGTGTCCGTATGTCCCGCTTGAAACATCAAGAAAATCAACAAACAGACTTTGAAGGAGATGGATGCGGGGCGTGGTTTGCTTATGAAGGAAGAAGAAGCCATATAGCCAACTTACTATCCCCATTTTTGGTCGCAGGCAATCAAGGTATAGTTTTCTCACAAAGGGATGAATCAACCGTAATGACATATAAATGTTAGGAGCAGCAAGTATTGAGCTACATTGCAATCACAAGAAAAGCCGTGGTGGAGACATTCGACAAGCTGCCAACGCCCCCAGGAAACTTACTCATCGAATTTTGGTGCGCGTACCGCCTAGGTGAACGTTACATGCCTTTACATCCTACTCCTTCACGCGTTGCCTCGCCAGCGAGACCATTATGTAGTAGTATAGCGTACAGCAACTTCTTTGATACATAAAAGACATTCATCATAGTATAAGCTTGGATAATATCATCGCTTTATTGATTGAAGAGTGCATCTCAAATGCCATCATTGAAACAATATTATTGTGTGTATAGAGTCATCATGACGAATGGATATATGAGTTTATTCTTTGGGGATCTGTTTCCTTAAAAAGCCCAACATGAGAGGGACCATAGAATTCTGTACTACGAGCTTGATGATTTCATGGCCACGTTTGGTGACTACATTGGCGGCGGATTTGGTTGTAGTAGTAGCCGTAGTAGCCGTTGTGACAATCGAGCTGCGATCTGCTGCTTTGGTGGAGGCTGCATCATCATTCTTTTTGTCTGCATTATTGTTGTTGTTGACTGCTGCTGAGGAGGTATTGTTGTTGTTGTTGGTATTGCCTTCGAGAAAAACGAGATCTTCCTTGACAGGACTTTGCATGACCCAAAGATGATCACCATCCTTGATTTCCTTGGCAGGGCTGTTGGTTTGGCTTCCCACATCAATCATGCTTGATCTTCCCCATACTTTGCTCAGAGCTGTCACATTGGCTGTGCCCTTTTTGAATTCATCCGCAAGTAGCACTTCCTTGAGAACTTGCAATGCCACACGTTCCTCCGATGAAAGTCTCTTGACATGTTGCCCTGTCGACGTGGTGCCACCACCCGCATACACGTGTCCACATACATCCTTAAGATGGCGTAACCACTCCTTGCGTTCTTGATCCGATTCCACGCTAAAGGTATACTTTCGCTTCACCATAGGAGGATCCTCATCACCCGAAGTACCAGTTGCTGCAGCTGCACCTGTTGTTGATGATGTAGTTGTAGTAGTGGTAGCAGGAGGAGGAGGAGGAGCTGAAGATGTTGTTGTTGTGTTGGCTGTAGGTGTAGTAGCTGCAGCTGTAGCGGTGGACACTGTCAATTGAGATGGTGGAGGAGATCCAACAGGGCTCTTTAATCCTGCAGCAGCAGCAGCAATGGCACGTGGATCAGCATGCGAGAAACCAATTTGGAAAGTATAACGCATAAAAGGGCGTTCAACAACAATGCTCTTGGTGCGAGGTAAACTAGGGCTGACGTATCGACTTGCATGATATCCGGACTTGATAAACATCAAACTCGTGCGACCAAGCGTATGGCCTGTGATTGTAAATGTCTGCACACATGAATCGGTAAAATCCAAGACACTCGGCTCACACACCAAATCTTGCCCACGCAACTTGATTTGTAAACCAGGATCGGGTGCTGGAATCGTGATTGAAATAGGTATTGATGGAACACCCTTGATAAGGCTTGTTGGGAAACGTTGAGGTGTAACAGTGATAATGGTATCTTGTGCTGGTGCAATCGATTCATCCTCATTCTCCTCATCCTCAGCCGTATTGTTGCCATTGTCCCATCCTGTCTCAAGTCGTTCACTTGCAATGGATTGATACATGTCTCTAAGGAATTCCACTGGCACAAGCGTGTATTGATCATAGTATCTCCATCGATCCAAAAATTCATCCAGCGATGGCTTTGTTGATCCTTCCTTCGCACGTAGTGCTGAGATGTAATGTAATGGCTCAATGGCAACACTACCACGTTCATCCTTGCGATCAATCATGCTCGCTCTTCGTGTCAGCAGTCGTTGCCGATCACGCCGTTCCTTGTGTTCACGTGCATGCCAAAATACATCCTTGTTCCGATCCGCGTCGTACCAAAATTCAGCATTGAGAAACAGCATGGCAACCACCACCTTGACAACCATGTCCTCGTGAAACTTGACAACATTCTGATTAGCATCATGCCACTTTTTAGCAAACCGCTCAATGGTATACTCGAGTGCATCCCAATTGCTTGGTAGTCGAAGTGTCATGAGCAATATACGTAATGCTTCATCGAGTCGTAGTGCCACCATACGGAAACAATCGAGGAATGCATCATAAATATCACTGTTCTCTGCTTCAGACACATAATTGCCCAGCTGTCGTCGTGATAAATCAGGGGTCTTGAAGAGAAAATTGGCGATACTCAAAGGCTCATTTGCAAGGACCTGTTTCTCAACAAGATATGCAATACCATCTGCTGGATCCGCTTCAAACTTGTGTAAGGCTGTTGCTAATACGGGATGCATCTTGCGAGGTGGTGGTAACGCTTGCATTGACATCCGCCCGTCACGATCCATCATCATGGAAGGTCGATGATTCGCTGATTGCTGATGCTGCTGCTCATCACGTGGTAGATACAAGGTCACTTTGCTCAACTCCACGATATTCTTGACTTGGAAAAGGCTATTTTCATTGTGCCGGAATCGATATTTGCCAGCCCCCTTGCCACCATCCTTGGTATTGCTGCCTTTGAGTACACTCGCATTGTCAATGATATTCTCATCCATGATCGGCTTGCAAATCAACAATAAATCATTGAACAGGAAAAGATATCGCTCTTTGACAGTGTTGGAATTCACCACCTGAAATACTGGCGTCTGTAATAAATGTCGTCTTGGTGCTGGATGCTGTAATTTGCCGGCTTGTGCTCGTTGTTGCTGTTGCTGTCGTTGTTGTTGATTCTCCTTCCCATCATGTTGTTTGGGTATGGGTCGATAATTGGTCAACATGTTTTTGATTCGAGCAAATTCAGGGCGTACTGGTGGTGCATCCTCATCCTCATCCTCTTCATCATCCTCACGTTCAAAAGGTTGCTGTGGTGTCGTGATGAGATCATACAAGCATCTGCTACCGATACCAAATGTTGCTGTTCCTCGTCGGCTGTTGTTGTTGCTAGGTGCTCGTTCAGTCTTGGTATCATCATCGTCGTCATCATCATCATCATAATCATCATCTTGTTGCTCTTGATCGTAACTGTGTGGATCCATCAAATCAAAACGATGCCCTTTGTTGTTGCTGCCACTGTGCCCATCTTCCATTTGAAACAACATGTCGCTGCCACCTTCACCAACACCACTACCACGTTTGCCTTCATCATCCGATAATTCAATGTCGCTATCCTCACGTCCTTTTTTGCCGCTCATTGTGGATCGAGTTGTTATGGATGATGACAAGGTGCGATGATCTGGAGAAAGTGGGTCATCGCTTTCCCCTGGAGTGGATCCTCCTCCACCTCCTCCTTTGTATCGCTCTCGTTGATATCGCTGTGACAAGGATCGATAACGATTATTGTTGTTTCCAGGTCGCTCAAGTACTGGTATATCGATAAAAGAAGAAGTGACAAAAGGTGAAAGACCATAGTACGCGCTTGAATCGTATTCACTGGAACCTGCTGATGATGATAATCCACTCTTGGTAGGTCGCTCCCAGTCAAAAGACGAAAACGAACTAGGCACGTTGCCTCCACGTTCCATACGTCGTTGTGTAAACGAGGTGTTGCTATTGTTGTTGCTCGTGGTAGGCGAATGGAGACTTGTAGATGCTGTCATGAACGAGCCTGCATCCGAACTCTCACTCATTCTAGGTGTTGCCGGGCTACTGCTTTGTCGTCTCGTTAACTGGTCAAATGCCGCCTGCAGATTCTTATTATCGGAAATGGGCTCATCGTCTCGCTTGTTTCGTCGATTGGAGCGGAATTGACTCAGTGGATGGGGTCGATGCAACTGGGATCCTTCGCTCATGGTGTTCTTTTGGAAAGAGAGAGTTACAAGAAGCAATTTTGTCGGGTTGTGTCACACAAGGAGTCTCCATGCCTGCATTATCGACACGTCATTTCAGCACATTGATCCTTACTACCTTCGATTACCAGATAATATATTACATGATATGATATCGAGTTTATTCTGTATCTATGTCATGCGAGGTATCCCTACTCGAATGAACTCCTTTCAATACATCAGTTAGGCTTCCTTTTTCCTCATGCAGCCACACCTCTCACATCATCATCATCAAATAAGGTATTTATTTTGAATAGGGATTGCCTTCGCTTCCTGAATAGCAACATCTTGGCATTTCTTCATGTACATGTCTTGGCAGCTGAAAGTAGGAAACCATGTTACACTAGAAACCTCATCTTGTACAATAAAAGATGTTAGTTTATCAAAATGAATGCAGGAAAAGATGTACACTTACTGAAGTACTCGGGCGGGAAGGGGCAAAGAGGAAGCGGCAGGTATTGCTGAGGGAGTGGTGGAGGAGCTAGGCAGAGGATCAGAGATCGTATTGCTGACGGTACATCCGTCTTCTTTTAATCCCTGCAAAAACATGTAAGGAAATGCTACATGATGAAAAAGACATGAACTTACTTCTGATGATGAGGCGGTAGAATATGATAAGCATGCAAGCGAACAAGGACTGAAGAAAAGCTACTAAGAGGTATGAGCGAGATGACATTTCGATGATGTTATTAATCGTCAACGTACCAAATGACTGTATGTGTGGGTGTGTGTATGTACGCGAAAAAGAACGAGAGCAAGATGTAGAAAAAGGGAGTATACCAAGAAACGGAGCACTTGAGTACCCCAAAGGCTATGTATTCAAACGCAGATTAAATGGGGATTTACAATACATGAAGGAAAAGCCTTTCGGGATTTTGGAGCACTTGGAGTACTTCTTGGCAAGGAAAAGTAGTCTCATGGTAGTAGTGGTGAACAGATTTCTCCTTTTTCATCTCGATTGCCTCTTTTTCTTGTATGCAATAGTCATGCTCCCATGAAACCTTTGTCACGAACAAGCAGCAAATATAGAAAGGGAAAGCTCGGTCCAAAGCATATCATGCAAGCCTACTAATGCCTCTCCTTGGATTCATTTCCCCTTTGACAGCATGCCCATCATCACACGTAAACCTTGTACAAGGCCTTAAACGACATTTATTGTATGGTTGTGATGCTTAATGAAATGCATTGATTGCATTTATATACATGTGCTTAAACACTAGCTATCGTTCTAAACTAAAGGAGTCGACTGTAAAGCATGTTGCTATGTGTACACAATGCTGCTAATCGCTCCAAAAAGTTTGAAAGGCAAATGACAACTGCCGTAGACATAGCTGTTTCGGCTGATTGAGCAAGAGAGTATGCATATAGTTAGGCATCCAAAGTCACGTGCTGTGCAGCAGAATTCATAGCCAAGTAAATACGTTGTTGTCGCAAGCGTCGTTAAGCATTATTACTTACCACTGTTGCAACTGATTTATTACTTGATCATGGATGGGATAAGATACAAAAAGTCTTTCATGAATGATTATCAAGGAAGCTATTTGTGATGGTGGTGATCGACTCGAGTGAGACGTATGCGGATATCCTTGAATCGCAATGGTGGATGTATGTAATCTATGATCCTTTCACTCGCAGCTGACGGATGATTCTATTTCTCTGGTTTTCTATAGCAAATGGGCAAGTAATATGTATTACGATTGATGTCTTCTTCATCATTTATCAAAGAGTTGTTGCATATGATGGTAAGAAGGAAATAAAGAGGGTAAACTATTTTCAGCATGTTTATTCTTGAAATTGCATCACTATTGTGCTTATAACAAGTTGAAGGTGATCAACCTATGCAGGTTGCCAGGCAATGACTGACTTTGATTTTCATTGTGTCCTGTGAATGGGTGCTGCAAGTCCGTGCAAGCCGAATTAAAGATCAATCTGCCAAGTAGTGAGCTCCTCCTCTTCCCTAAAAAGACAAACGGTAAAGCATCCATCCATTTCATCCATCCATTCATCCATCGCATCGATCATGATATTCATCCATTCCATAGGCCATGGTTGCTTTGAATTTGCCCGCTGACGTCTTGGCCAGCGCTGACGGCTCTCGTAAGCTCTTCAACAAGTGGTCCTATGAGGACGTCGAAGTCAAGGACATTTCCCTTCAAGACTACATTCAAGTTCGTCAACACGTCTACTTGCCTCACACCGCTGGTCGTTTCGCTGTCAAGCGTTTCCGTAAGGCTCAGGTAAATTGGAACGAAACACTATTGATATCTACATGTATGCTCATGAGAATATGATACTAGTGCCCCATTGTCGAGCGTTTGACCAACTCCCTCATGATGCACGGTCGTAACAACGGCAAGAAGCTCATGGCCGCTCGTATCGTTCAGCACGCTTTCGAGATTATCAACCTTTTGACCGACCAAAACCCCATCCAGGTTATGGTTGATGCCATCATCAACACTGGTCCCCGTGAAGACTCCACCCGTATTGGTTCTGCTGGTACCGTTCGTCGTCAAGCTGTTGATGTTTCTCCTATCCGCCGTGTCAACCAAGCTATTGCTCTCTTGACCACTGGTGTATGTATTTGGGTTTATGGAAAGGAAAAGGGAGATGGGAGATGGCTAACATATCCCTTGTTGTAGACTCGTGAAGCTGCTTTCCGCAACGTCAAGACCATCTCTGAATGTCTTGCTGATGAACTCATCAACGCTGCCAAGGGCTCTTCCAACTCCTATGCCATCAAGAAGAAGGATGAGCTTGAGCGTGTTGCCAAGTGTAAGTACATTGTCATGGGATGTGTCAAGGTTGCCATGGTTACTCATTCTCTTTTTTCCCTCTCTCTTATAGCCAACCGTTAAAGTCTTTGTTTTCCTCACTCGCTTGTCATATACTTATTGTCCGTTGCATTATGCGTGCATGTTCAATAAAGCAATCCCAACATCAAAAAACGTTATTTATTTCTTTCAAAAGTCTACAACAACGATGATCACCAGAGAAAAAAAAAGGTCTATTGATTATCCTCTTGTACGTAATACAGCTTCCGCTCTTCAATCTGTCGTTCGATGCTCTCCAGATTGGGAAGGTTGAGATAGGAATTATGGTAAGCAAGCACCTCATCCAATGACAAGTGTGGGATCAGATTACTATGGGTATATATATAAAAGTCAACAAAGCGTGATCATGGTCAAAAAGAAATGATGGAAACTTACGTTCGAGGAGCCACCTTAAGACAATGCTCTGCATCCAAATGCATATCCAATACATCCTTGTAATGGGCACCAGAACTAAAACCAATACGAAGCGAGTACTCCTTGCCCGATCCGCTATGTCGATTACGCTCATACAACTCGAATGTGATTTGTGTAAGGACTAAGAAAAGAAAGATATCAGCAAGATCATTCCTTATCCCTGATGTATATACTTACAATCTAATTCAGGCAATGCGTTACGAGGGACCTTGGTAGGTACACCTGAAAGGTACACCAAATTCAACAAGGCGTGGACATGGGATTCTACATAGAGCGAATGGATAAGCTACCATGGTAGATGAAATAAACAACATTTTGCAATGGTACCTTTTGTGAAGTACAATCTTGTCTTTGGATGATCAGCATACTTGATATCTTTGAGATCATTGAGGATAGATTTCAACAGGGGTAATCCAATGAGTAGGCCGATATTCTTCTTTTCCTCATCATTGATGCCGTATTCTTGGGGTGCCACAAAATCAAACATGATACGCACGTATTTGTACAACTTGCGTAGCTCTGAACCGCATTGGACAGCATTGAATGAATCAGTAGAAGGTCGACCACGGGTTGTTGAGCTGCTGGTATCGGTGGAAGTGCTTTCATTATCAACGGAGCAGGTAGCTTCAGGATCATTAAAGATGCCTTGGAGGAAAGGTCGGTTGTGCAAGGCGTCGTATTTCAATGCATCATATAATTCGGGAATCCAAGCTGGGTCAGGTGCTGAATGCATACGATTGCGGATATCGGCTTCATCACTCTCATCACCACTGCCATGATCGCAAAAGTTTCTAAACATCTTTTCCCATCGTTCTCGAAAGAGGGCTGGTGATTCAAAGCAACACCATCGTCGTTGGATTTGATCAACATCCTTGGTAGCCCAATTGTTGCGCATGATGTGTCGTAAACGTGACATGATGAGGCTGATTTCTTGCATAATCACGTGAGGCTGTGGCATATCGCGTGGCCATCCAACTTGTGCTAGTTGCAATTGTGGGATGTCGTAACCAGGTCGAATCATTGCTTTAAGATGTCGCTTGGCTGCATCCACTTGTTCCTTGGCGGCGTTGCTATCATCCAACAATGATTTGCTCTCGGAAATAATGCCATCAATGGATTCAGGTTGTCCAAGGAAACGTCTTGCAAACACATCAGCTATATTTACCATTATCAGTGATCGCATGTTTGGCTAGCTCTCACATGTCCTTTGTCATACCTGTGGCTCGTACACGTCGTTCGGAACTACTGAAGATCTTGACATCCTCCAGAATGTTTCTATTCATGATGTTCATATCCTTGCGTAGGTTTTCACCCAGGTCGCGTGATTGATGCAAGCCAGCATGCGTAAACTAAAAAGAGCCATCATCATGAATACTCTTTGTGTGTCTCATAATCATTCCCTCATCTCCAATTTACCTCGCCTCCCCACTTGACATTGACTTGGACTTTTTTGAGACTGCCATCTTCACGATCGAATTGGGGCTTGACTTGAACCTTGGTACCCGCCAGATCCCACTTTTTCTCGAGAATCTCTTTGAGCGCCTTGAGTTTGTCAGCATCAGCAGGACTCTGTTCAAGAGATTCATCCACAGCTTTGGCAACGAGAGACAACTGATGCTTTTGCCGAAAGACCACTTCTTGCGTGCTGCCATCCAATAAATCGATAAAAGGCTGGGCCTTGGTGGATATCTTGCACTTGTCTTTGGGTGTACGATCCGCATGACGAAATACGGCAACAAAGCCCTTGAGACGCCATGAATGTTCAGGTGCAATTTCAGGGGGAATCATATCCACCATGGAAGGACGTCGTTGTACAGATCGATCAAATGCTTCACTCAACAATCTTGCACATTGGTCATAATAAAAGTCGCTGCCTTTGACAAAGCTCCAACCATTGACATCGATCACATACGATTTGCCATTCACACGCAATAAATCCAATCCACACACAAATTGGCCAAATGCTTTGGACACCTTGCGAGCAATATCTTCTTCTTCGGGGGAAAGCTCGGTGCAATAGCGAATCTCTTTGCCTTCGGTGTTACGTTTGACCAATCCATCCACTGTAGGAGATCTATCATCATCAGCATCAATAAGTTATGCTGTGACAAGGAGATGAATCAAAGTCAACCACCTACTTGCGAGTCTCTGCATGGACAAAGGTAGGGCCCACTGTGTATAATTTGATGTCCTCGCTGTTTTCAGTCTCCATCAGTTGCTCGTACACCCATGAACCTTCGGTCTTTGGAGTAACCAAATTGGGATCGTATTCACTCGACTTGTTTCCGATCTGTGATATGTTTCCCCATAAAGAACATCACGAGAGACCATGTGAGTAACTTGCACTAATCATACGCTTTGCATGAATCATTCTTACCTTACGAAACAATCTTCTACCACCGCCACCCTTTTCTTTGGAATAGTAAATGTTGATATTGTGATTCTCTCCATCCACCGGCTTCTCAATGAATGTCTTGTCCAAATGCTTCCCATCCGCTTCAATGGCATCACCAGTGATTTGCACATGATCGGTATTACGCATATAGGCTGCAAGCACTCTCTTCATATCCATCCCAGTGCATTGTTCAAAGGCTTCAGCTGCTTCAGGATCCACCTTGGGTCCACCATCACGAGACACAATCAGGCGTGGAGGGGTTGGAATACCCATTGCATCCAAAATAGCAAGTACAACTCGTCGGTCCCAAAGCAACGACTGCATCACCACGCTATTGACAACGAATGGCTTGCGTAGCTTTACATATTTGATAGCCTTGTCCAAAGGGAATCCACCAGAAAAGAAGCAGATCAAGAAATCACATCCAGGCCAATTTTCCACCTCTAAACAAAAGCATCCATGAAATGTCAGCGTTGCCCTAAAGGAGTCATAAGGGGTGCATATATACCTTCGTCAAGGATCGTCTTGTCACCAAAAATAACAATACTGTAATCGCCATAACTGAGAAGCCGATCTAGAATGTGACGCATGGGCTTGGATCGGGCCTTCTTGTCGAGACAACATACAGCAACCACGTCTAGCGATCAAAAAGGGTGAGTCGAAGCATGCCACACACACACGGGCCTAATGGAGCATTTACATTTGCCTCTACCACTAGAAGAAGAACCGCTGTGTTGAGCAACGAGTGGCGAAGGTGAGAGAGCTGCTGGCATAAGCGTAGAATGAAGGTGTTGTGAATGAGGGAATGAGTGAGTGAGAGAAGAGAGAAGAGAGAACAAGGAGAAGGTGAGACAGCCTTGTCGCCGCTGAATGGAATTTCCAAAATGACATTCTGGCGCGCTTGTGCATGGCAGATCGGAAATACTCCCTTTGTGAAACATGCCCCACCATTTCTTCCAATCCATCCCATGTGGTGTTGCCACCCAATTGTACCTTACTATACACACTTCCCCCCTTCATTCAACCTATACTCACTAGAAGTCATAGTAAACAATGATCCTTGTATTCGAATCACAAACGATAGTTTTATATATATAAATGCTTTGTTAACCACATTCGAGTCACCTGCATAATAGATCCATTGTAGAACAGCTTCTTCATTGTATGGATCAACAAATGAATAGAACATTCTCAACCAATCCCCATACATGTGTGACCTTGACCTCTTTGATTGAAAGTCAACTAAAGTAGACACGTGACCACTATTTACACCATGGAAGGGTTGTTTATCAACAAGTAAATATGAACAAAAGATCTTGTCTTATCATAACATTGTTCCATGGGACCAAGCCTAAATAGCTCATACGTTTCAGCACAGTGTATATACACCATCCATTCTAGCATCATCTCTTGTGCAAACGAGCATGGATACCATCAAGTATTCCATGGCCATTCAATACTCAGTCATTCTTGATCCCTATCCGACATGTAACAGCAACGTTGGAAATGTATCACTTTAGTGATATCGATCAAACTATCCGCACTGTACTCTAAGTTTTTTGAAGGCAACAAAGCAAAATGGGCTTGATGATACCAATCAATCGCTCTTGTAAATCACATGAGGTGCGCATGTATGAACGCGATGCTATATGAAAAAGTGGTCTTTGTTCATTGTCAAGCAGCTCAATCCTGATAGAGCCAAAGCTGCAGATGGCCTTGTTTCTGTAAAACAGCCCATTGGGTAGAAATGGGAGGGTCAATGCATGATGCTTATACGATAGCTAATGATTAATCATGTATTGCCAGCTAACAGCAATCCTAAACTTTATTCATTCTATGACATGTGAACGATGCTCCTGCTCCACACATTCATTTCCATGATTCAATTGTCTTGATCCGGGCCAATTTGACTGAGCTACGCTCGAACAAGGTTACATCAGTTGAGGTAAACAGTGCATGGCGTATGTACGTGCTGATGTCTCTCTCTTTGACCGTAGCTCAATCAAATCAGCTCGCATCAAGAAAGTTGAATGATGGAAATGTTGGGCTGGAGCAGGAGAATTGCTCACATGTCATAGAGTGGACAACGATGCCGATTGGGAGGAATTGGCTATCAGCTGCCAGTTATGAGTGTTACAGATTAGCGAATACACTATCATCCATTAATCCTTCCAGTCATGCAAAGTAGCTGAGTTACCCAAAGAGGTCCTTCTGCATCTTTTGCTCTGCCAGGGTCCACCTACTTGACAATGAACAAAGACCACTCTTTATATAGCATCACGCTTACAAACATAAAGGTGCCTGTAGCGCTAAACTTTACAATGAAACGTGTGGTTTTTATTAGAGCAATGGGCTCGGCTTGGCCAACAGCACCTTGTGTGAAAGTTTCACGTTCAATGTCGCAACTAGCCCAAAAAATATTTTTTGGTCATCGTCGTCGAAGAGGTCGACCCCCAGATCCAGTTTGGCTGGTAGCGACATTGCGAAATCTGGGATTGGCAAGCTTGATCGTGAAACTTACACCCAAGGTGCAGTTGGCCAAGCCGAGCCCATTGCTCTAATAAAAACCCCATGTTTGATTGTAAAGTTTAGAGTACAGGCGTCTTTATGTTTGTAAGCGTGATGCTATATGAGAAGTGGTCTTTGTTCATTGTCAAGTAGCTAGACCCTGGAGAGTCAAAGATGCAGAAGGACCTCTTTGGGTAACTCAGCTAAAAAGTCAGGACTTCAGGGACAATGCATGATAGGTACGCAACCCTCACTTTTATTTCATACATTGGCAGCTAATAGCCACTTTTGTGCATTCCCACCTTTTGTGCATTCTATTGTAGGTGGACGATGCTCCTGCTCTAGACATTCATTTCCATGATTAAAGTAGGTTGATCCGAGCTGATTTGGTTGAGTTACGCTCACACAAGATTACATCGGTTGAGCTACATTGAGCGTGCTTTATGTCCAGAGTGATGTAATCTCTCTTTGACCGCAGCTCAGTCAAATCAGCTCGGATCAACTTACTTTAATCATGGAAATGAATGTCTAGAGCAGTGGCATCGTTCCCATGTAGTGGATCTCGCAACAATGGTGATTGGATAAAAGTGGCCGTTAGCTAGCAATACATGCCTGTTCCTAGATGATCCATAAAGTAATTATACATTGAACCTTTCATTCATGCAAACGTAGCTGTGTTACACAACACGACCCTCTGCATCTTTTGCTCTGCCAGAGTCCACCTACTTGACAATGAACAAAGACCACTCCTCTTATAGCATCACGCTTACAAACATAAAGGTGCCTGTATCTCCAAACTTTACAATGAAACGTGGGGTTTTTATTACAGCAATGGGCTCGGCTTGGCCAGCAGCACCTTGTGTGAAAGTTTCACGTTCAATGTCGCAAACAGCCCAAAATATATTTTTTGGTCGTCGTCGTCGAAGAGGTCGACCCCCAGATCCAGTTTGGCTGGTGGCTACATTGCGAAATCCGGGATTGCCCACGATGAACTTCATACTTTGACACAAGATTCCTTTGACCACGACGAGCACGTTGATCTATTAAAGAGCCCACGTTTGATTGTAAAGTTTGGAGATACAGGCACCTTTATGTTTTACATATGCTGTAAGGGTGATGCTATATGAGAAGTGGTCTTTGTTTAATGTAAAGTAGTATGACTACAATAGAGCAAAAGATGCAGAGGGCGTGTTTGTGTAACTTGAGTCATTCAGCACAGACGATGCATGATTCTTGTACACTATTTAGGAATAGTTCAACATGCCATCTAATAACCTTAGTCCTCCCATTCTCCATTGTTGTCCAACCCAATGCATACGAACGATTCTCCTGCTCCAGCCCAGCATGCCCATCATTCAACTTCCTTGATCCGATGAGATTTGACTGAAAAATGCTCAAACACAGAAGCATCATCCAATATCAGAAGAATCAATTTGGTAAGTTATTTGTAAACTGCCACTTGATAGCCCTTTCCTCCCATTCACTTTTTTACCCGAACCAATGCATGTGAACGACTCATCTGCTCCAGCCCATCATCCCCATCCTTCAACTTCTATGATCCGAGGGGATTTGATTGTGCAACGCTCAGACAAAGAAATAGCATTCAACATCAGAAAGGTCTACTTAATTTCCACTTCTTCTCTCTTCCTCCCATTCTCAACTGTTGCCCCATTCATGTATACAACTACCACCTACGAACGATTGTCCTGTTTCAACCCACCATGTGATTGCTACAGTTGTCTTGATCCGATTGTCTTTGGCTGAATGGCAAGTCGATGGCGTGTACACAGCTTTCTTGTCACTCTTCTACAACACACGCGTCTCTTGACACAACACACGCTCCACTGCCACAATCAATCGTAACAGCATTCATTACAGCAATTGCTATTAGCAAGGTCTTTGGTCCAATGTCTCCAACAGCGTTCTTTACTTGCAGCAACTTGCCTTACCACCTTTTTCACGTGAACAGCAGATAACCATTATATAGAACCAGCCTTAGTTACAATGTAGCAACTTACTTCAATACATGCGACTTCTTACGGATACGGATATGGATATGGATATGGATATGGATATGGATACGGATGTGGATGTGGATGTGGATGTGGATACGGATGTGGATGTGGATGTGGATGTGGATGTGGATGTGGATGTGGATGTGGATGTGGATGTGGATGTGGATGTGGTGTGGATGTGGATGTGGATGTGGATATGAATGTGGTTATGGATGTCGATATGGTTATTGCTATGGTACGTACATGGGATGGAAGGAATTGGGTATACACAACGCTTGAAAAAAGAGGTTATTCATTGTCAACTTGGTTGATGCTCCATCCTGCACGATTGGTACATGCAATCATCGTACTTTACACGCTATGCCATGGCAACAGTCATCATCATCCTTGTGGAACCTGTCAACCAAGTACAACCATCATCATCATGCAACTTCATGCTGTGACATGCCATGCATATGATTCGCCACCACGCATCAAGAGCCATCTCACACCTATCCATCCATCTTTGCACAATACACTCTCAAAGGATAGCCTTGTACATAGCGACGTATCTCATCTCCCATTGAAGCAATTTGTTGTACCTCTCCATCTAGCTCATGTGAATGATGTTGAATTAAAGGTTTACTTCTCTAGCAGAAGATACGACATTACTATATAAGACCTTCCTCCGTCCTGAGTCGGACATCATCCTATGTGAGGACTTGATGGATTGTATTATAGAAAGATGTATAGTATGGAAAATGCAGGATGCGATAAAAGGAAAAGAGAGAAAGAGAAAGGAGCTGATTGATTCATTGTGCCTTGAACAAAGAAGGCTTCATTCGTTAGTATGCACTTTTCTCCCATTCGTGATTAGAACTTTTCATTAGCGCCTTAACACACGTTCCTATTTTACTATGAGTGAGGCATCCCCTACATGACCCACATCCTTATTTGATCACCTACTTGCCCTTTATTCAATAACATTCATTGCTATATAAATGATTCTGCTATTATTCAGGAAGCTAACAGAGCATCCATTGTTCGACCGCAGTGATCACGTGAAAGGATGATGGTACTATGCTGTAAGAGATAAGCTTCTTTTACTCCGTCAATGGAGCCATCTTTCTTTTTCATTTCATTGTATGCTTGTTCCGAGGTCCGTCAAACGCAAGTATGAACACGCAACAGAGCCTGTATCCACAACAACAACAACAACAACGACATCACCACCACCAGCAAAGCGACATGCAGTAGAGACAACACCGTCAACACCCCATGAGGACGACGACGACGAGCCGATCAAACGATTGTCATCGCAACAGCGACTTGCCACGATCGGCAGTGACGAACCGATTTGTGTCATTTGCAGCAAATATGGAGAGTACATTAACGACGACACGGATCACGATGTGTGTAGTCTCGAGTGTAAAGGCATTGATACCCGTATGACAAAACCCACGGTGACACCCAGTCGACCATCCGATGCGATTGTGCAGCCTTATGTTGCTGATACGCTCCATGCCAAACTCACCAACTACACTGAGCCACTTGATCTTGCCAGCATGACATCATCACAGCTCCAACTGATCCTCAAGGCACAAGAAATCCAACTAAGAGGAAGCAGTGTACCACATCCCATCACGAGTATGGATCAATGCAAGCACGTCCTGAGTCAGCCATTGATACGCAACTTGGATCAAGAAGGATTATGGGGAATGGCTACGCCTGTGCAGCGACTAGCAGTACCAAGCATGTTGGCAGGTCGAGATGTGATTGTGGTGTCTCCTAGCAGTTCAGGCAAAACGACATCTTTTCTTATCCCTTTGGTGGCCCATTGTCAATCATTATCCATCATGCATGAACATAAACGACGCTCTGGTCCCTATGCACTTGTTCTTGCACCAACACGTGATCTATGTGTCCAAATTGAATCGACATTGAAACGACTTGTGGCAGGTATACAGAGTATGAGGACAGCCTTGTTGGTGGGTGGCATACCAGTAGCGGATCAGCTGTATCGATTACGCAAAGGTGTTCAGATCGTTGTGGGCACACCTGGAAGAGTCACCATGATTGCAAGCTCCTTTCCACACATGTTGCGTCTTTGGCGAATGCATATGGTTGTTTTGGATGAGGCAGATGTGTTGCTGCAACAAGCTGGTTTACGTACACAAACCAAGGAGATCCTGGATCGTCATTTGAGTACAAGCACTTTACGTCGACAAACAGCTTATTTTTCATCATCACCAGAGATCACCAAAAAAGCATATTGTCGACGTCTTGTGAAGCCGATTGAGATTCTCGTGGGCCAAGTGAACGAAAAGGAGGAAGCAAGGGCATTGAAAGCAACACCTCCCAATGTCAAGCAAACCGTTTTATGGGTCGAGAATGCGAGCAAAGCCAAACGACTGTTATCTATTTTGGATGATCCCAAGTACTTTACAGCACCCGTGGTCGTGTTTGTGGATTCTGGATTGGGCGCAGAGTATCTTAAACGATCCTTGCTGAAACGTCGAAGGGATTGGCGCATCGCTGCCATTGTCCAACAAGAACATTCCATTGATGATCGTAAAGCCGTGATTGAAGGGATGAATCAAGATCCACCCGCTTGGGACGTGGTGATTGCAACAGACACGCTTGCACGTGGCATCGATCTTCCACATGTCAGTCTTGTGATCAATTACGACATGGCGTCATCACTGGCGGATTATATCCAAAGGATCAGCAGAGCTGTCATTCCAGATTCTCTTATCGATACCTCAAAACGAAAACGTGGATGGGCCATTACATTTATCAATAAGGTACGACGTATTCTCTCTCTCTCTCTCTCTCTCTCAATGATGGTTGCCATGTATTCATCATCCTGTTTCTATATAGGACGACAAGCGATTACTTCCATCCTTTGCCAAGTTCCTTTCCACCAAATCATCAGTCGATGTCACCCCGATACCCAATGAGCTCAAACACTTTTTACAGAATGAATAAACACTTGATTGTATTACGTAGTCTTCAAAGTATCCAATGCATTTCGTAATTTTGAATAAAAGGCATACACTTTGTCGCTTTGAAATAAAATCTCGGTCGTCAAGAAGCCCGGTAATAATGACAACAGCTGTGCATCCTTTTTCTCGTCCAATAAGGGGATATAACGTACATCGTTGCCTGGCTTCTCTCGCAACAATTTGAAACGAATGGCTAGAAGGTAAATGCTGTGTCAGGCTTCATCTCTTTTACGTATCATCCATAGACCTACTTCCTCTCTTTCCTGTTTGTTCGCATGTGTATAAATCACCTTCCATAATCGTTCTCACACCACTAATTGTCAATCCACTGAGGTTCTTAAACATCTCCATCGCCTGTTTCATCTCATGGTCTAATGATTCACCTTTGCATAAGTATCATCATCAACCTTGGAGAATAATGCTTATTACCTGCTTTCTTGAGCACCTCCTTTTCTTCGCTGATGGTGGCCAATTCTTGATTGAGCTCATCCACTTGATTCACGAGTTCACGGTTGGGCTTTGAGTGCTGAATCTTTTCCCTGAGTTCCTCATTCTCCCTTGATAATTGTTCAAGTTCCCCTTCCATACGCTTCATGCATTCATCCGCAGCTAGAATAACATGTCAGGAATGTCGATATCCATTTTGAAAGCAAATTCCTTACCTCTAAGCTCCTTGCTCTTGGCAGCTACATACGCCTTATGAATCCGTTCAGGTTCAGTGAATCGTAAAGAGACCAAATAATCGTAATGCTGCTTGACCTTTTCGAGCTACGTAGCATCCTGACGCGTTAAGATTCCAATCACGTGATATATGGCAACCTCCTTTCATTACCTCATTGATCCTCCTGTACATGTCTTTCAAAGACATTGATCGTGGCACATCAGCATATTCCTCCTCTTCTTCCTCTTCCACGTCCTCAATCGCCTCTTCTTGGAAATGATCGAACTTTCGCCGTGATGTTGATTGTTGTGTGGCTGGTTGTTCTACAGCGGTTCGTTGTCGTTTACCAGGTCTTTTTGTCGTTGATATGGGTTGTGATGCGTATGCAGATGGATGAGTGCGTTGTGTATTGTCATATGTATCCAAGAAAAGACGATCCTCTTCACCGTCGGATGGTATCTCATCTAACTCCTTATATAAGTCCGTGATTCCTTATCATACACTCGCGTCTACCTTACTCTGTGATATTGGTTCGTGCGACGAACCATAGCGTGCTGGTGGTGCTGGTGGTGGTACTACTGGTGCTCGTACTGGTGGTGCTGGTGGTACTGGTGCATCGCGTACATTGGTTGCTTGCGGGAATAGCATATGGTTGATACCTGCGTCAATGACGATCAGCGTGAGTTGTGTATAACATGGCGATCATGGCGTTGAAAATGGAAGCAAGGTACAAGAACGTACGTTCATCGTCGTCGTCATCCAAGTTTGCGTATTTGTCGTTTCCTGCCCCAAGCTTTAGGGCTTCTCTTGCAGCTCTACCCTGTGTGAAAGGAGGTGAATGGGCATTCGTAGAAACACGTGTGTCTTAGCTTACTCTATACATTGCAATAAAGAGAAGTTCTTTTCCCCGCCAACTCTAGCTATTTATCTTGAAACATCCCTTTAAGCACAATACTATTCATGCAAATCATGGTGAAACATACACACCTCTCTCTCTCTCTCTTTTATTAAGTAGGCTCTATATTTCCACGTATACCAAGCGTGTGAGTCTTTTAAAATGAACATCATCGATACAAAAACAGCAGCATTGTTTGGTCCGGCTGCATCACATCTGGGCTAGGTCATGCAAAGATGATGTGGCACTCTTTTAAAATGTGCTTCGCATTCATACTCACAGTGATTAGCACCTTTTTCTCTCTCACTTTCTTTCTACATACACATCATGACATCTGTTGAAAGAGGAGGAAAATGTATACTATCACCATCCAATTGCAATCACCCTCAAGGTATAACACCCACACCTTTATATACATATGCCGCTGACAAACACATACATAGATCTCAAAGAGGAACAAGACGTCGATGCTTTAGCAATTAAGGTAACCATGGTTTTACTATCCTTGATGTTGTATTAGGACCTAATACCAGGCTTTTAGAATCGATCCCAGGGGATCATCAGCAAACCACCCAACCGACACCATCGAGTAAGCTGTGCGGATCTAGCAGCCGACATTGGCGATACGTTGGTTACCGAGGTCCGAAAACTTCGTGATGCACAAACCAAACACTTGGAGCGTATTGCCCATCTTGAGACCAGCCTTACTACATTACAGCAAGAGAATCAATTATTGAAACAAAAGTATCAAAAACTTGAGAAGGATCAAGGTAAGGTGATGCATGATACATAAATGTTTTGGATGGCACCTCATTTATCATATCATCCAGAGCAACTCAAGGATCAAGAGTGGTCCTTGGAAATTGCACGTCAAGAATTGCAAGATCAGCTAGACGCCAAGGATGCCATGGTGACACGGTTGTCAAGCGAAAAGACAAAGTTGCTGAAAGAGCTGCAAAGCATGGAGATGGCCAAAGCAGAAGACGACAATAATAGTGCCACTGCATCCCACTTGCATGAACAACGGCGCCATCGATTGATCACCGAGCTGCAACAACTTAAAAAGGAAAATGCAACCTTGCAGCAACAATTGAATGATGCAAACAACAACACCAATCCAACCCATCATAACAATGACCATCCCCATGTACAATCTACTACCACCCATCACCATCATCATCATGTGGAGATAGACAAGCTTAAACAATCATTGACACAAGCTCATCGTACCATGACAAACCTCCGTATGGCATTACACAAAGAGAAAAAGGAGCGCATGGAAACGGCTAAGTTGCTTGCCGAGAGCCAGGATACCATCGAAGAGTTGACAGCAACACCACATGACTTGAATCACAAGCGAATGAGCGGGGATAAGGTGCTGAAACATCAACACAATGATGACAATGACACAAGCGACAAAGAGGAGGAGGAGGCATGTGACACAACAGCATCACTTGACGTTCTTCCCACAAAATCTACAACACTCTTCAATGAGCTCCAACAAAGCAACAATGTCCTATACCCAACATACGACAAGGAAACGCAAACAGAGGGTGTATTGGATCACGTGGACATTGGTATCCAGGTCGCAGTGCCTGAGAATGATGATGATGAGGAGCAACAGCATCACAGCTATTTGGATTCGCTTAAACGCGTATGGAACGAAAGCAGCCTTAGTCTCAAGCATGCCATGAGTTCCCATTATGCCTCTTCTGATGATGTGAGAAGAGAACAAGAGGATACACCTAATCCACAACCTATCATCTCATCCAACCATTCTTCCAAATTGGCAACGTATGCAGCAAAGTACATCAACAATCATTTCCCACAGCCTGTAGCTTCAGTCTCCATGCAGCATCCTAGCGCACCACAACCACCAATGAGGAGGATGCCACCACCAGGATCCAATAATCATGATGACCTTCCCAACAAGCCAACACCATCCGTCTCCGACACAATGGCAGGATCAAGTATTCACAAGCATCACATCATGTCCACAACTACCACTACCAATGACACCGAGCAGGAAGATATCGATCCAAAGGTGATCCAAGCCTTGACTCATGCTATGATTGGTGATTGGATATACAAGTATACACGACGCTATGTAGCAGGCAAGACAGGCAATCGACGCCATTATCGATATTTTTGGATCCATCCCTACACCAAAACGCTCTATTGGAGCTATACACAGCCTGATGTTGATCATGACGAATCAAGATCCAAGCGAGGTATGTATCAAATTTGCCTCTTTTATCTACCCTTACTCATCCTTTTCTATATACTAGCTTTTATCCGTGACGTATACAACATCCCGTGCCCACAACCCTCCTCCACACCTTTCCATCTCATGGTACGCACACCCACTCGCGATATTGTATTGCAGGCCAATGATATCGAGCAACATCAACAATGGCTTGTGGTAAGTGGCATACTTTGTACATCCTAGGAAACGAGCTGATGTAGCATTACACAAAGGCGTTTTGTTTCTTATTGGGTAAACCAATCGATGATGTTGCTACCACCCTCCATCCAAGCCCATTGCTACAGTCATCAGTGAGCTTGTCGCATCGCTTCTCACGAGGCTATTCTCCATCCACGTGCAACAATAATAGCTCCCTTTTAACCACAAGCTCCATACTTCAGCATAGCACCTGCTCGGATGTTGATGATGACTGGGATGATTCGGAAGATGAGCTTATCAATATACGTCAATGTTGCAATGGAAAGCATGATATTTCAAAACTCGCTCGAAATTAATAAAAAGCTGTCATTGTGGTTGTATTTGGTGGGCTTTAATGTGTATTTGATCATTGGTCTTCTGCACTACCAGTCATATAATATCTTGCTCGGTAATCATCACTATTACAAGTTCCATTCATCAGTGTCTTTTCTCTCTCGCTCACTTTGAGAAGCACCCGCATCATTATTTACCTGCATGTAAGAACACCATTGTCTGTAGTTGAAGCAGCCACACATCGTACGAGGTTATTTTGTCCTATGTGCGCAAACGCATGTCAATCCATGTACTCCACAACCCAAAGACATAGATAACTACTCACCTGCTATCCTTGTTAATAAGCTGCCCTTTTGTGTATCCCATACAAAGACATCCGTGGATCCTTCATCACCGATCATGACAAAATCATCATTATAGCTAACCGTGGGCTATTGTACACAACATCATTAAGTGGTCCTGCGCATTGAAAAAGAAGAAAAACTCTATCCATACCTGTAACATTTGAGAATGTTGGCTATGGCCTCTATATTCAACCACCGTTTTGCCATTTGAAATATCCCATAACCGCATTGTTGAATCCATGCCAGCAGTGAGCACAAATCGTTCATTTTGTAACATCCGTACACTGGATACAGCTGTGCCGTTATGTGCGTTTTCAATGTTGCGTACACATTGACCTGAGACACCATCCCATATGCGTACTGAGCCATCTGTCGAGGAAGTGGCAAATACACGACCGGATTTAGCGTATCGAATTTGTGTAATGGCGCCCTGGTGCATTTCCTTGGTACTGTTGGTGTAGCATGCAAGCGTTTTCACGTCGTATATCCGAACAGCTGCATCATCACTGCCTGCTAGTAAGTAATCGCCTGAAGGATGAAAGCAAATCGAATTGACAGAATGGGCATCCTATCCACATGCATGAGTGATCCATGATTTTCTCTTTCTTGTGTATACACCTTACCTGGAAATAACGAAACGATCGCTTCACACCCAATTTCATCAAATCAAACAACTTCACGCTTTGATCCTCGGCACAACTTGCAAGCACCAAACCATTTGGATGAAATGAAAGATCATTGACAGGGGCTGTATGATCGTACAAGGTACGAATGACTGGCTTGTCGCCAACATCGCCTGTGCGCTTCTTCATCTTGTAGACATCCAATACTTTGAGTGACGAATCATGTGATCCTGTTGCTGCAAATCGACCATCATCGCTGAATGCTGCTGTACGACATGGACCTTTGTGTTGTGTATAATAAAGTTGGAAATAATCAGGAGGCACCTTGGCAGCTACATCAACTCCCTTGTTAACTTTTCTCATCATCATCCATTTATCTCTCTCTCCTTGTGTACCTGCTGTTTGTACTGCATCCGGATCAAATCCACCTGATGTCCTTGTAGTTTGATTCCAATCATTGCTTGCTTGATTATCATCCATGTCGTAATCGCGTTTCTCCTCCTCGGGGTTGTATTCGCTATCTTCGGATCCATCGTGTTCCACTATATACCGTTCACGTTCAGTAAGCTGCAAGCTCCACCACCACCACCAGCAACTCCAAGTCGTCCTTACATTTGTATTTGCCAAGTTGAACCAATTCCAATAGACGATTGCTGGGTGTCAGTTCGGTTGTGGCTCCTGTCGTGTCAGCAACGCTTTGTGCCACAGCTGAATATCCATACGCAACAAGCTGCCTAAATCCAATGTCGCGTGAATATTGTCATTGCCGGTAACCGATCTCAAGCCATGGGTTTACCCAACAATCAAGCTGAGAACTTCTGTTTCATCGACATTCGGCATCGCGTCCATGGTGGTGGTCGTCGTCGTGGTGATTAACAAGTGAGGAAGAGAGGGCAGCAGCAGCTGCAGCACACGCCTTGCCCGGTCACGACAACCTTTTGCGGAGTGTGTGTCCATCCCTACCATTTAGTAGCATGAACTCTTTATTGAAGCCTATTGCTCGTCGAGTATGGAGGCTATCATGTATCTATATCCATTGGCTATTAGATGGTTCCATCTTTGCCACCGCTACTTTACACAATCAACATGAGGAATGTATGAATAAAGATCCCAACCATCGAATGTAACTTTTGGCCCTTTTTTTTGTGCTCTCATTTGTATATGGTTATCCCTCTATGCAAAGGGCAAAGGGTTCCTTCAATGCCCTTTGACAAGGTATCCAAAAGTTATGCATACCTTTTTTGAAGGCCTTAAAATGCTTAAAATGGCACGCGATCTTGAATCAGTAGAATAATGTGTGTTCTCGCGAATTTGACACGATGCTCAGTTTCTGCTGGATCATTGAAACACTGGGTGTGATGCATTTTTCGTACCTATAATGCATAAAGGCATCAAAGTCTAAAATTATCCATTGAAGCCAATAGCATCATGGTAAAACGATCTAGTGGAGTCGTCAATGGTATCATTTTAACTTTCTCCCCCTAATCGAGCGTTGACCATTCAATCGGCATTATTGTTGAATAAACCTAGTTCTGGTTGGTTCTTTTTATCCAAACGCCCCTTGAATCAAGCAAGCAGACAATCAACGTCCCATTGAACGGCGCCAAAAGTTGTAAAGCGGCGTGTTTGTGGGTACACAATGAGAACATTCCTGCCCAAAGAATCACTCTGATACATTGCTCCGCTTAAGCCGAACGATAAGAGAGAGACATTTCAAGCCGAGATTACATAGAACTGACAAATTAGAAAGTATGCAACAAAAAAGCGCGGTGTTGAGTGTGTTCATTGCCATCAATGTGTGAAACCATGATGCTTTACAAGCGACATTTTGCGGTGGGAGTTCCATATTGAGAATCATGGCGTCATTATGTGCATATTGTCTCTTTTCTCTCCCTCCCCCCAATAGGTTGGCCCTACTATTGTATACTGCTTTACACATGTAGATCATTATTGCCAAGATTAACATTGGTCTAAGGTGGTGTTTGTGTGTAGATGATAAAGCAAGTTTATCATGCAGCTGCGGTGGTGGTTGATGGGGTGCATACGCGCACGTGGATCAAATAAAACAAGCGAATAACCGATTTTCCCACATGTGTTTGACTTTTTTGCCACTCAAAGGGTAATGGGGAGAAAGGCTGTGTGTATCACATGGGATGTGTCATTCTTCAAGTAGTTGATATTATGCTGCAAATATAGTACAGAAATAAGTTTTAGTGCTGAATGGTGATAGATGAATAATAAGATTATGTGATAAAGAACAAGAAGTATATGCTCAACATGTGTAACAAGGTCGTTGTGTTTAGGAGAAGAATACGTTCTGTACACAATACACAAACGCAGACTTTTGTGTAGTGCTGGTGTTGTTGGTGGGTTGCTGCGACGCCTTTGATTTCCCTTTTTGCTTCAAAAGGCAGACCCTCCAAACTCGGCTTTACATCTTTCTCTCCTCTCTTCCTCTCTCTCTCTCTCTCTCTCTCTCTTTCTCTTCTCTTTTCTCTTTTGGTTTTGCTTTCTTTCTCGTGTACGCGTTCTCAGCACACACTCATACAACTAATCGCCCACTCAGTTATCATCTCGTGCTCATTGGACAACGTCGGCTTCATACGACTCATATAAACACGTTAAAGCGTCTTTTCTTTCTGCGATCATGGTCTCTTCTGTTACCAAGAGTGAAGCAAAGCAAGCTCATCCGCAACCAAGCGCAGCAATGCCATCACCCTCTTCATCGCACCATTCGGCATCGTCGCCGTCTTCTTCACCACAACAGGCTCCGCTGCATAAACCGCCAGTCGTTACTGTTCCGGCACCTACGCCTCAGGTCAACGTATGGCAAACCCGCAAGTCAACCTTGAAGGATGTGGATTCGTCGACAATTCCTGCTGCTGCTGCTGCAACGAATACCACCACGGCTACAGCTACTACTGCAGATGGTGAGTTTAGATCCATAATACATGGAAAGTGACTAAAACGTTATATGTATGTACAGCCAAAGTTGACATTGCATCAACAACAACAACATCACAGCTACCAGCAAGTGCATGGCCTGCACCCAACGAAGCCGTGGAAAGTACAGTGGATGACCCACCTGAGAAAAAAGATAAGTTTTTGGTGCTTAAAGGTATGTTTTGTTGGGGGCAAAAAGTGGGTGGTGGGTTGCTTGGCGGTAAAAATGTAGACGTTTACAGTTCTCCTTGTACCCCTTGCCTTGCGACTTTTTTGTTGGGCGTTTTTCTTCTTCTGACATATGGGACACTCACTCATCATCCATCTCCTTTACTCGCATATAGGCAAAGGAAAGAACCAATGGAAGCGTTATACTCCCACCATCATTCATCCTGCATCAAATACCTCCAACAACGCCAATCAACAACAACAACAACAACGATCTCGTCCTTCCAATAATAATAATCCTCAACGACAACATCGTCAACAACAACAACAACAACAACATTCGGGTCCATCTTCACCAAAAGCTGATGAAAAGGAGAAACGCAAACCACATGAACATCAACAAACGCCACCACCGCAGCAACAACATCGATCCCAACAGCAGCCTAGAAGGGATAGGCAACAACATCAGCAACAACGGGAAAAGCATGCAAGGCAGCAGCAACAACAACAACAACAACGACAATCAACACGTGACAATGAACGAGACAACAAAAAGCAACAACCAACGACATTGCGTAATGAGAATAAACAGCATGACACAATCACCAGCAATACTACAAGCAACAATGACACCACCACCACCACCACCTCTGTACAACGATCACATAGACATCAAACAAAGTCACCTCCTGCTGCTGTTGATACTACTACAACTACACCTGCCACCGCCACTACTACCACCACATCTCCGAATACCACATCTCCAACCCGGTCAACAGTAACCAAGGAAAAGCCAACGTCACCATCAAGTCATACAAAGAGCCCAACGGGAGCAACACACCAAGAACACCATCATCATCAACATCATCAACACAACCATTATCGGAATAATAATGGCAATGGGTATCATCATCATTCACGAGGAAATGGTCACCAACATCATCCACATCGATCATCACGTTCAGCTAGTGGATCATGGTCAAGTGGTGGTCGCCGTCCACCAACAAATGCAAGTGGACGAGGGCGTGGTGGATATCGACGCTATGATCAACAACATTATCAACCACCTCAACAACAATCAACATCATCAAGGCGTGGTGTACGACCCCCATTGCCACCACCTGCTTATATCACGGTCGATGTGGACACGCTCAAAGTCTATATTATGCAACAAATGTAAGTTTATTAATGGAAAAGGAGAGGCAAGAGTACATGTCAAGAGGTTGACAACATTCTTTTTCTAGTGAATACTACTTTAGCATCAATAATCTTTGCAAGGATATATTTCTGCGTAGCCAGGTATGTATTATGGATCACGTGTGTATGTGTTACATGACATACTCATATGAGATGTACTATAGATGGATCCCCAAGGCTATGTCGATCTTCAAGTGCTTGGCAATTTCAACCGTGTCAAGATCCTGACAAGCAGCTCGGATCTCATCCGCGAGGCACTAAAGACATCTGAGATTGTCGAGCTCAGTGAGGATGGCAAATGTGTACGAAGGAAAGAAGGATGGGAAACATGGATTCTCCCAGGGACAAGTTCATCGTCAACATCCCATGCCACCAGCAACATTGAAGATGGTAGTACACGTGGATCAGCAGCAGCAGCAGCAGCAACCAAGGTCGATACCGTGGAACAAAAAGGAGAGCGCTCTTATCAAAGCAATGGTTCAAAAAAGGAGAATGATGATGAGGTGTTTGCATTGGAAGTGGATTGGGATCAAGCAAGGTCAGCTGTATCAGGCACACCCAAAAAGTATTACCTGTCCAATGACGAGGATGGAGATGAGGATGAAGATGAGCATGCTATTGATGAGGATACGGTGGCACGGATCATGATTGTGACACAACGACAGCGTCAACAAGGTGGTGGTGGAAAGCTCAATGATGATACGGTGTCGGCCATGATCAATGAAGGATTACAGCACTACGAATCAGATCTCAAGAATACCAATGTGTAAGGGAAAAAAGAGAGTGAGATGGTATGAACCAAGATGGAGCTAACATGTTGGTTATAGTGTGCCCAATAACAGCATAGCGATCCCTGCAGTAGCAGCTCCAAGATTTTACCCCATTCATCCTGAATCATTACCAACGAGCAACCATTTCTTATCCAATGCCACTGTACAGCAAACGCTTGATCCAGCATTCATTCAACAACATGTGGGATGGGTATTTGGTGACCAAGCCTATCATTATGACCCTGCCATTTTGACGACGACCGACCATGATACAAGTCATCCAATCCCTGCATTCGAGCACCCGAGCCATGCCCTGTTAAAGGAGAATGGATTTGAGCAACACAAGTATTACAAGTACCATGCCAAAGCGCTCCGGGAACGCAAAAAGTTAGGCGTCGGTCACTCGCATGAAATGAATACCCTCTTTCGATTCTGGTCCCATTTCTTGCGTGATCATTTCAACAAGAAAATGTACAAGGAATTCAAACGTCTTGCAGTGGAGGATGCCAATCATCATTATCGGTACATAAGTTGTGAGGGATGGGTGGATGAAAAGGGATCTTGGTAAGCTAACACCATCCTATTTTTTAGATATGGCTTGGAATGTCTTTTCCGTTTTTACTCGTATGGTTTGGAAAAACGGTTCCGATCAGCCGTGTTTGATGATTTTCAGGAATTGACATTGATTGATCATGACAATGGACATTTATATGGGTTGGAAAAGTTCTGGGCCTATTTGTATTATCGCAAGGACAAGGATACCCACAAACTCAAGGTGGATGAACGACTTGAAAAGCTGTTATCACCGTACAAGACCATTGAGGATTTTAGGAATGCCACCACGACCGCTGACAATGCTCCTCATCATGATGAAGTGTATATGGTTCCTCATCACGTAAGTTTCCCCTGCTATTCTTGAGCTTAATTTGGATTGTAATTAAAATTCATTGTTTTCTACTTTAGAAGCCTCACAAGGCATAACTTGCACATAGCTTTCTACCTCTTTCCTTCTCCAGCGATCACGATCCATATATGACACTACTACAGCAACAGCATACAGCCTGCTTCAATTTGTACCATCCTCTCTCGTGTTCACTATCATCATCCACCCTCCTATCTAACGATTTCTTACCTTACGTATGTCGTTTCAAGATCATGTTCATATATAAATGATATCTGGTGAACGGACTTTTGGGTATTATGTGGGGGAGCGACCAAAATGACAGTTTCATTGTGTGGCAGAGAAGATGGGGGAGGGGGACCGATCTTCATTTGGTGTTACCATGAGGTAGGGGGGGTGAGAGGGATACAAAGAATTGCATGTTGTTGTACCTGACGAATTGAGAGAGATGTTATGAATTCCGCCAAAAACACACACACAAATGCATCTTTTTGTTGTTACAATTATCTAAGAATAGAGGTGTGTGTTGCGTCCCAATTGTGTGGATGGTTGCTCGAGATACCTGGTTTTGGGAAACTCATCTCGCGATAGGAAACCCTAGAGATTTCGATCGACGTTGCATGTGCAACATTGACTTTATGAAAAGAGCGGTAATCACCGAACTTGGATATAAAAGCGAGATTCTCTATTTATCTTATTTTGGCTACTTTCACTCTTATATACCTCTTTTTTCCTCTCACTTTTCCCTTCCTTTTTACCCATATCTGTATATAAAGATGCGCGTCCTTTTGGCGACGACATTTGCTACGCTCCTTTCCATGGTGATGGCCGCTGGTAGCAGCGATGCCACTGCCGGCGATGATAATCCCTACAAAGTAATTGAGCTTGTGGATGGTTCCAACTTTTGTACCTTTTTGCCACCCACCGATTCCACTGACAGGTAAAGTAAAAATGCAATGAGGGATAAGATGGATCGACCCAAAGACTAATTTTACCCGAAAATATAGAAACATTGCATCCACTGAATACATGGGCAATGCGTTTTGTACCGGCAACACCCCTAAGGCTAAATCTGCTGGTCCATTGGCTGATGGCTTCATTCTTTCTGCCCACTATTCTCAAACCAAGGATTTCGTCCAAGTGACAGGCCAAATTGACCCCGCAAAGATGAACTTGAATGTCACAGATGAAGGTGGTCAATACGACATTGCCATGCCCAAGCAAGCAACCTGTGCCGGATGGAAGCACTTTGTTAATCTCATTGAACCTTTGGGTCACACCTATTGTGTTCGTTGTTGCCATTCACGCGAGTTTTGTAATCGTGGAATAAGTTCAAAGGGCTGTAATCATATTGTCGAAGGTGATTACAGTGGTCCCTATAATCCTGGTGATGATCTTGTCCCTTCTCCTGCTGCTAGTGGTAGTGATGCCTCTGCTTCTTCTTCTGCCTCTGGATCAGCTCCTGTGGCCAGTGGCAGTGGTAACAGCGATAGCTCGGTGGGTGCTGTTACGCCTTCATCATCCGCTAATCCCAGCAGCAATGGTGACAATACCAGTGCAGCTCCTTCATCCAACTCTGCAAGCAACAGCCCTGGTGATAATAACGAAGTTCTTCAAGCTCAATCCGTCGATGGTGACGATAGCTCAGCTGCTGCTACCACTATCATCAACAATTTGGCTGTTGTTTTCGGTGCCAGCGTTGCTGCCATTGCCATGTTTATCTAAAAAGAATACAACCCATAGTCGTAATGAGTATCTTTCCCCCACCTATTATAACACAATCTAAATGATTTCACACATTACACGCATGTTGGTATCGTGATGAGATTGAGTGTTGCGGTCATACTTTTTGTCACCTACAAAAAATCACCTTTCAAGTGGCAGGTGGATTTATCAGCTGTGATGTTCCATCACTTTGACGAAGTACTCTAAGATGCTTGACCACTTTATCACTTTAATCAATCATGGCAACAATTCTCACGCCCACTCATATATAAACAAGGCTCTTTACACCAACACTATCATACGCACTTCTTCCTGCTTGTATTGGTATCATCATCAATGGCCTCTGGTAAGTCTCAAGGATGGTCTTCATTACAGTACGTGATCCCCAAAATGAGGGTACTCATGCATCATCTATGTAGCTCACATCACTGATTTACCACTTGGAGTGCTCTTTGGTGCCTAATGACATTTGGCTTTGTTCCTTGATGGATCCTTCGGGGTTGGTATAGCTATGCTTTATATATTAAAAGGATGCCTACGTAGACTGATGGGAAAATTGAGGCTCCTTTGTAGGTGACGAAAGTACATACGTGAAATGCTGTATGACAACTTTGAATACAGCAGCGCCTTTGCTGAAGGAAATCCTTCTGAATAACCACAAGAGAGGCCTACATCTTGGCATTCAGCAGTGGTATGTCTGAACCATAAGCATAGGCCCACTTTGCTTGAGAAGTGCTCATTTTATACTTTTATTAGGTGCCAATCTCTTAAAGCCCATGAACGTTCCATCGATGAAGCTCAGCCAGCCGATGAAAGGAAAGCACGAGCAGTGATGTACCAGATGGAATCATCCAGGATCGTTTCATTGAGATCGTAGGCCCACCAGATATCGCCAACTAACAACATTATGCTGGCGACAAAACCAAAGTTGGGAAGCCGATGAAGATCAATGAACGATCGTCAAGCATGCAAAGCCTTGACAGCATTTGTTGTTTCACCCATACAAAGGAGACAACGTACACATCAACCACCCACATTGGCAGCCCGCGTATTTTACGTCAGCTTGCCTTTTCATTTCAACTTCTCCCAACGATTGAAGGACGGATGGAAAAATCGAGACCTCGTTGTAGGTGGCATATGTATATGCGTGTAATCCTGTATCGACAACCTTGAATACAGCAGCGCTGGAGCTCCGTTACTCAAGGAAATCCTTTTGAACAATCACAACAGAGGCCTACATCTTGGCATTCAATGGTATGTCTGAACCATAAGCATAGGCCCACTTTGCTTATGAAAAGTGCTCATTTTATACTTTTATTAGGTGCCAATCTCTAAAGGCCCACGAACGTTCGATAGATGAAGCGCAACTAGAGGCCGATAGTTTAATTAAGATCGCCGGCCTCCAGGTGCTGCCAATCATCAGCATTACCTTGGAGATAAGAACAAGCTTACAAAGGCCATGAAACTCATGTTTTGAACGCTTCTCCATAAGTATGAAGGAGACCAAGGAGAACTATATCAGATCAGATTATATGGTGTCTTGCTTTACCGTAAGTACTGGTGAAGCCATACAGGGGCGTTAAGGAACCATATGTCCCATTAATGCTTAAGTTACCAGGTGAGAAATGATATGTTTTCAAGTTCTGGATGTCAAAAGAACGCCTGTATGTCTTCAAGAGGTGTTGAGCTTACGCCAACAATGTATGGTGAACGTTTTCCTGTTGTCGTGCGGGAATTGTGGCGCTTAAAGGCATGATTCAAGACCATTAAACACGTCTTAATAGTAATCGTATTTGCAGAATGACATTATTACAAGTGCAATCTCAATACGGCGATACGTACAGGGTGAACGATCGTCAAGTACCGCACCATTCTTTAGCATGAACCTAAAATAAAGAGTCTAAATGTTTGGCAAATCCCTGGTTTAGACATGAAGTTGGTTTAACAAGCACTTTACTAGTATTGTCATTAGACTATGCACGACTTGCGCCTTGTCGCTTTCTCCCACGACAACTGGATATGTGCATATCAAATCAAACTGAGTCGAAATAAAGGGGTAGAATTTCATAGTATGCTAACGTTACACTATTGCCCGCGGATAATTTCTCGGTGAAACATCACACCCAACTCCCCTCCCTTTCACGTGTTTAACCATTCATAGACAAAGTGTGCAGGTATAGAATGTTGCGATGGATTTTCATTCAAGTATGGACAAGTGCAAGTAGTAAAAAGAGGATGTGGGGTGGGATAGGAATAAGAAAAAATGACATTAGGTGGGTGGATAGTAGTAAAAAGAAGAGTGAAGACGACGCGGTAATCTAAAAAGCAGCAATAAAAGACAACGAAGAAAAATACATGAGATCATTAAGTGTGTGTGTGAAGATATAAGTATTAGTTGGAATTAGCGGCTCGACGCTTGGTGAGATCAGCCATGTTTTCACTATTGCATGTATATGAGTAAACCTTGTTTACATGTTATTAGGCGATAGGCTTACCGAGGTTTACCAACAGCAACTGGTTCAACTGGTTCCTCTTCTTCCTCATCATCCGATCGCACATCGCTAGCAGCCGTACTTGTAACAACGCGGTATAGCACCTTGAAAATCATGACGGTCCAGAAAAGAACCAAGATGTAGAGTCCCAACATAAGGCCCAGGATGATGTACTTTACAAAGTATGGGAACCAATTGCCATTAAGTGGATCCAACTTGAATTCGGGAACATAGAGATCAGGTTCGGTGAAGGTAGACCAAATGACGCCGCCATACAAGTACACGCGCGTGTACATCCATGATACCAACATGACAACGAATGTAAAGTTGCACACCATGCCAGGAAGCGAATAGTTGAGAAGTTTGGCCAACTAGGAGACAAACATAAACACATGATCCCTTTCCTTCTCACACACACAAAAAATACTTACAGCCAAGATAGCATCAGGAAGGTCCATGTACACGAATACTGCATTGCCGACACGAGTAAAGTTGCATCCATAGCTGAAAAAGATAAGAAGCAAGGTATTGATATGATGGAGCACCAATTCACGGTAGTCTTTGCGAGGAGCCTCAATTTGAAGGACAAAGATTTGCTGGAGCCAGAATGCATACTGCACAAGGTAATAGTACTTGAAGATCTTGTCATAATCGGTCACTGGGTAATCGCGCCAAAAGTAAGTAGTATCATCATACCAAGGCGAATGATACATGATGTACTATGATATGCATGCTGTGTCAGTTGTTGTCTCAAACACTCACACACACACACACGCTCGCTCACTTCCTCTTAAACCCTTCCATTTACTTACAGCACCGCAAGAAAAGCTGATCGAGTAGTACAAGCATGAGTAACCTTGTTCAGCAAAACGCTGATACTTCTTTTTGGACACGCCAGCAGCCTTGGCAAGGGGGATGAGCATGTGATTCATGACAACCGCTCGAAGAGCCGTGAAGACACAAATGTAAAACATGAGGAAGGTGATATCCCATGGACTCTTTTCAAATCGACCATCCGGACGTTGGTTGGAAATAAACATGAACTTGTCAACGAGCGGCAACCCGAGGAAGTAACCAGCAACGATGGCAGTAATGACTCGAAGCGGCGCCTCTACCGAAAGCGATCACTCTCATCAGCAAGAGGTTCTCTATTGTAGATTGTATGTTATTTGTTGACTGTACCTATTTGGTGGTTGACGAGATAGTTCATAAGCTCCTTCTTAGACCATAGAGAACGTTGCTGCTGTTTCTTCTTGTGTGGCAGCATTGGTTTGCCCTTGGTCGGCATCTGTTGCTTCATGATTGCGGAAAGGGAAAAAAAAGACTACACTTGCTGTGATCGTCTCCGGCCATCCTTCATCCCGAGCAGAGCTTAAAGTTGAGATTCCGCTCTTGGATATCCAAACATGGCAACCGTGTGCTGACATCCCCTTTGTCATCTCAAATTCATGTTTCTCATTTATGAATCAATAAAAAGAATGTCATTTAATCCAAATCCCAAGCAGGTTTAGGAAGCTCGATAATACAATCAGTACGTGGCTCTTCAAGATTAGCAAATTGATGGAAGGTGTTGGCCTTGGCATCTCGTTTAGTTAAATGTGGCATGCCGAATAATGCATGCAGCGTGCTCGGCACTGAGGCGTGTTCCAGAATATGGGATTGAGGGAGTACCAGCCCTTTTGCAATACGCGGTGATATTAACAATGCTGGCACTCGAATACCAAGTCTTGTAAAATCAAAAGTGGGATCAGTGATGCCATCTGGATTATCCACACCTGTTGGCCTAAGTGTATGTATGTACCCATTTAGCGTTTTTGTGTTGCCTTGGTGATAAACATCATGCGTTCCCCCACCCCCTTCGCCCCCTCTTGCCTACTCACGGAGCCACATGATCATAAAAGCCGCCGTGTTCATCCTGTAAAGGGGAACAACTCGTGAGCATGGGTTGCATGTTTATATGCATAATGTGTACCCTACCCAAAGTAATAGAAACAATGTATCGTTCCATTGAGGACTTGCACGTAATGCTTCATACACTTTTTTGTACAGCTCTTCACCACGTCGTAAATCATAAAATGCACCTGCGTGTGGATGTTGATCATTGTAGGTACGTTGATCCAATCCATACATGGCCGGCTCTAGAAATACATAGGACGCCAAATTGCCTGCTTCACAATCATCAAAAAAGCGCTCCATTCTGTATCCAGGCGAGTGTGATGGCATGCGAAAGTATCTGAATAACATGGTTGCCGGTAAAGGTGAGGCTGAGTAAATGGCGTAGCTGACATCAATTTCATCCAATGCTTCAAATGTCGTTTTGAATGGATATCCAAGCTTGGGAATGTCGTTGGTCACCACACCACCTGACGTGCCAGCATGCAAAAAGTTGCGATTGGGAAATGTCGAGCCTTGGATAAAAGCATGTTGTAAGATCATGTATAGCATCATTCCTCTTCTTTTTATACCTGGAACAGATGAAAACCACCGCTTTTTTAAGGGCCTGCATGAGCATTGTTGTAAGCAGGGGGTGATCGATACAACACACTTACATCAGATATGGCGTACTCTTGCACCAACGTGTAGAGTACAGGTAGGGTGGTCTCGTTTAAGCCCTGCATGACTTCGGCAGCTCGACTCTTTTCTCGATATCGAAGGTAATTCTTGACAAATCCTTTCATGGTCGGCTTGTCATCATGCAAGTCTGGCATGGTCCCAAAGTCAACGTTGTAAATTTGCTGGTCAACATCCGGTATAAAGTTTTCCGGTTCATCCGTACTATGTGGATGTATGTGTGATGAGCCAATCATTCGAGGCATTTATAAGGTTGCATAAACAACACTTACTGGAATGCACCATCATGTGTAACACATATTTGATCATCGTCGTCATCATCCTTTAATGGGTTGCACATGGATGAATTTGAGCCATCAGCTAATGGATAGCTTCCAAGAAAGTGGTCATAGCTATGATTCTCCATCATCAACACGACCAGATGCTTGATCATCGAGTTGCCATTATCGAGAGGTCTGCATACGACCAATAGCAGGAAAACACAACAATCAATTATCAAGATGACGTTTAAAGACATGATGTTTATAAAGCATAGCAAAAGAAAATGGATAGGATTGTACATTGTTCTCAAATCAAGCAAACTTATAATACCATCTGCCATGATATTAAGGGGTAAACCCAAGTATTATCATTGTACGTGCGCGAAAAGGTCATACATTTAAACTTAAAGGAGGAGTGATAGGGCAAACAGATAAAGCCTATCCTTTGGGTCTCCGGTTTCCTCTTTGAGATCGGCGCATAGGTAAACAATGATAGGTGTACGAAAGAATACCATCACTCTCCTCCGCATGTAGCTGCTGAGTCCATGCACAGGAAAGCGATTTTTATGCTTGTGAAGCGCGTCGTCATGCACGTGGCACCTTTTAGTTTAATATAGCTAACTTGAGATGAAAGTGTGCATGTGGGTAATGGTATTGTCAAAGGATACCTTTTGCTGCCGTGACCAAAGACACAGGTGTAGGATAACGGTGTCAACAAGAACTGTCAAACTTTTCTATTGCCGATACATACTAGGTATGCTATGCTGGGATTCGTCACCATGATCAAAAGCTGGGATCGAAACGCATTATCCTCGAGGTGCTAATGGATTGAATAGACGCACACTTACATACATAGTATATATAGGCATGATTACGAGTCCTTACGTTTTATTGCGAGATTACGACGAGTTGCTGGATATGGATTATGGTTGCATGTAGCACAAGACAACATCGTTGCAAGGTACATGTTACACGTCCGGAGTTATTGACGCCGAGATGGATGTTTTGTTGTCCGCAACGTTATTAATCCAAGAGCTGATGTATGATGCTAGTGACAAAAAGATGGAAGAAGTGACCGGGATATGACGATGAATCAAATGATCAAAGTAAGGAGAAAGATTGTATGGGTAGTGATGATGCTAACAATGATGAAACGTAAAGGCTTCATTGTGACAACCGCTGACCAACGACAATAACGCAATGAATTGCGTGATGGACGAGGCTTTGTCAGCCAGTCAATTATAGCCATCTCTGATCCAGTGGATGTATGATGCGATAGCCACACACGCTATTCGTGTCTCAACCCAATGACCTAGACACCGAGGTCGTGTGTGCGTCAATTATAATGCAAGCCCAATGTCTCTCATTCTATTGTACCACTTTATTGAATAAGTACTCTACGACTCACAGCATCACGATTGCCTGTTATACTTGAACACCCCCCCCCCCAAATTTTTCTCTTGATTTATAAGCTTGAGCCCTTCTCACTTTCCCTCTCTCCTTTTTCCTTTTCTTTCTTGTTGAAGCGAATATGGGTCTTTTATCCTTGGGAACACCACTTCATTGGAACGAAGCAAAACACTACGCCGACCACGTCCGATCGCATGGTATCGATCAGTTCCTCTCGGTTTATCGGAAATTGCGCGACAGACAAAAGCAATGTCTGCTATGGGGCGACGAGGCATGTATATAAAGGAAACGGTCGCGTTTGCAATGCGCGCTGCTGCTGACATGCGCCAAACACAAAGGTGGAATTTATTGTGGTGAAAATGGACCAAGAGAACAAGGAATCCAAGCTGTCATTACGGGTATTTGATATACTGGCCGATCTCCAACGACCCGAGCAAGAGTATAATAGTGGAACGTCAACGTAAGTCATGTGTGTGTGTGGGAGTTCGGTTGATTTGAAAGCTGACGACGTTGAGTATATATAGTGAGCCACCAGAGACGTTATGGAGACCTGAATATGGTAGATTTATGCTTGAAGCCATTCCTGGACAGCCTTATGGAGCGACATTTCGTGATTTGATGAAGGTGGAGGCGAGTATGAAACGTAGACGGCAATTAGCTCAAGAGGCAATGCTTCCAGGAGAAATACCCGTATCCTTGGTGAATTATCCTCGTTTGGGTTGTCCGCATGAAACCAGTCCTGATCATGAACCAACGGGTCAAGCTGTCCAAAGTCTTTTTGTTCCTGATGAAATCACCAATCCTCATGCCCGTTTTCCGTAAGTGTGGTTTTTTGTGTGTGTATACAAGGATGTATGGGTCAAAGCACTTATCAGAATGGGTCTATGATAGCACGTTGACAGCCAACATTCGTCGTCGTCGTGGTGCCAAGGTGGAGATCAATATGCCAATCTTCCATGATAAGAACACACCTCGCCCATTCATCGACCCAACCATCCCATGGGATCGTGATGTTTTCCCACATGACAAGGAGGCTAAGAATGGTGCCGCCAAGCCCGATCACATCTACATGGACGCTATGGCCTTTGGCATGGGTTGCTGCTGTTTGCAAATCACTTTCCAAGCTTGCAACATTGATGAAGCACGACACTTGTATGATCATTTGGCTCCAGTAGCTCCTATCATGGTAATGTACTCTTGGGTGGAAAGGTTCGAGGCACTCTCAGCTGACATTGTACGACGTATAGCTTGCATTGACAGCTGCATGTCCCATTTTCCGTGGTTATCTTGCTGATGTGGATTGTCGATGGAATGTGATTGCTGCCAGTGTGGATGATCGCACGCCTGAAGAACGAGGATTGAAGGTATACATATACTTTGATAGGGAGGGAGGAAGAAGGAGTATGTATGAGCGTGTGTGCTAATCGCGTATGGGTGTATAGCCTTTGGAAAATGATCGCTTTGTCATCAACAAGTCTCGCTACGATTCAATCGACACTTACATTTGCGATGATGCCATGTACAAGTCCAAATACAATGATCTCGACCTTGTTTACGACAAGGACATTTACAAGAAGCTGAGAGAGAACGACGTAGATGATCTTTTGGCACGCCACATCTCCCATCTTTTTATTCGTGACCCGCTTGTTATCTTCAAGGAATTGTTGGATCAGGATGATGAGAAATCGATGGATCATTTTGAGGTATGTTTCTATTATTGTATACGCACATGGACGTGTCAACTCAAGCATGTTGTTGCATTAGAATATCCAATCGACCAATTGGCAGACTGTACGATTCAAGCCTCCACCACCTGACTCTGATATTGGATGGCGTGTCGAGTTCCGCAGCATGGAAGTACAGCTTACCGATTTTGAGAATGCTGCCTTTTCGGTGTTTATCGTGCTGGTCACACGTGTGATTTTGAGCTTTGGATTGAACCTTTATATCCCCATTACAAAGGTAAGCAGGTTGATCATGCATTAGGCATTGATGGCTCATGAGGTATTGGCCAACATAGGTGGATGAGAACATGGCAACAGCCCATAAGCGTGGTGCAGCTGTAAATGACAAGTTTTACTTCCGCAAGAATGTCTTCCCTAGTAAGTGTTGAAGGATGGGTGGATTTGAGCGTAAGGACATTGGTTGACCTAATGGGCTACCTTTTAGATTTGGATGGCACTACCACCGAGAGTGATGACGAGTATGAATTGATGACCATGAACGAAATCATCAATGGCCAGGTATGCTAATCATAGCGTCAATGTATCCTCGATCCTTTAAACTCACATTCATTATGCAGGAAAATGGCTTCCCAGGTTTCATCCCATTGATCCACAACTACCTTGACAGCACCAACATTGATATCGAGACACGATGCAAGCTCTCCAGCTATTTGTCTTTGATCAGCAAGCGTGCGAGTGGCGAGTTGATGACGGGTGCTACTTATTTGCGTCATCTTGTGATGAATCACCCTGACTACAAGCACGACTCTGTGGTATCTCCAAGCATCACCTACGATCTCATTAACACCGTGGATAAGATTGCCAGAGGCGAACTCAAGGCACCTGAGCTTTTGGGCGACTTTAGCGCATAACCTTATACTTTCATCCCACACACATGCACGCATTACGTTGACAAAAATGCACACACAAGCATCATCCGTTACCTGTTCCTGTTCACCTCCCTTCCTGCATAGTATCGTAATCCCCTTTTTGTTGCTCTTTTTTCTTCTCTGTTTCATACTATCCCCTATTTACTTCCCTCCCCCAACCCCGGTTTCTTCTTGTATCGGTTGTGAATGCGATCGATTTTTATTGTTGGATAGCTAGATTGACATATAGAGTCTTGGATAGCATTACAAATACACTAGGCTTATCAAGACGACATTGATTGTATATACACGTGTGGCAACTTTTTGTATGAAAACGGTGCGACATGCTTTATTCAAAAAAGAGACATCATGCTGTGTAACTACATGATAGATTAAAGGGTAAAAGTATCTTCCAAACGGATATCGCGGCTGCTTGCACCAATGTAGAGCGTAAATGTGCCAGAAGGAACAACCCATTCTTGCTTGGCTGTATCCCATACTCTTAGATCACGCTCACTGAATTCAAATTTGACATCTTGTTTCTTGCCGTGCTTGATGTTGACTTTTTCGAATCCACGCAACATCTTGGGTGGTTGCTCTGCGTCCTCTGGGAAGCCGAGGTATGCTTGCACAACATCAGCACCATCAACATCACCCGTGTTCTCCACCTTGAGCGATGCTGTGACCTTTGCATCTTTGCCCTTGCCAGAAACCTTGACCTTGAGACCGCTGTAATCGAACGTGGTGTATGACAAGCCGTAGCCGAACTCGTAGAGTGGTTCAATGTCGTATTTATCAAAATGGCGGTAACCGACATTGACACCTTCAGTATACTCAATATCCAACTCCATCACAATGTCACCCAAATAGTCGTCGAACTTTTTGGCAATGGTATAGGGCAACTTTCCAGATGGGTTCACTTCGCCAAACAGCACATCAGCAAGCGAGTTGCCTGTTTCTTGACCTGGCAAACCGGGCCACACAATAGCCTTGATATTGGGATGATCAATCCAGGGCATAAGAATAGGGCCGACCGAATGAATCACAACGACAGTGTTCTTGTTGGCATCTGCCACAGCTTTGATCTAATTGTGGAAACGTAACATTGTGAGCATAATAATGTGGTATGGTGTTTAACGTGATCCACTTACAAGCTCGTCGCCATTGTACCATAAAGAGATGTTGTTACGGTCGCCAGGGTTATCATCCACTACAATGTACATTTCACCCGAATCGGACTTGGCAAATACCATGGCAATATCAGCGTCAGATGCAACTTTGGCTGCTTCATCGACATTCCAGTCATCGAGGTAGGATACAACATCAACGGAGTCACCTGCACGATCCTTAATACCATCCAATGGTGTGACAAGGTAGGGCAAGTAGGCACTACCAGATCCCCAACCTTGTGTCAAAGTGCCACGAGAACATGCACCATCCTGGCATTGATTGAGACCCCTATTGTAATAAAAATTGTCAATTGAGCCATCACTTGTAAATGTTGCATAATAGCCATATGCACTTACTCTGGATCAGCACCAGCATCGCTGCCAATGACGGCAATCTTTTTAACCTTGTCGTCTTGTCCAAGCGGAAGAATGTCGTCGTCGTTGCGCAGCAACACGACTGATGCAGCACCTTGCTTTCGAATGTTATCCTTGCTATCGCCCTGGACATCCAAATCAGCGCCCACGTTGCTGTCAAAGTAGTTAAAGTTGAGCTCTGGGAAGCCCTTGTCTTGACCGACTTTGTACCAGGCGGCCACAATACGTGTTGCCATATCCGTAACGCGATCTTCATCGACATCACCATTCTTTACGGCGTCCGTAAGGTTTTTACCAAACCACAATCCACCACCAGTGATACTTTGTGAATTGGCATCACCTGGCATGGTCATATCAAGACCACTGTTGACAGCAAAGGCAGTAGAATGCGTCGCCCACCAATCACTCACGACAAATCCTTTGAAACCAAGCTCGCCCTTGAGGACTGAATTGAGAATGTAGTCATCCTCACATGCATACGTGCCATTCACCATATCTAAATGTACCCAATACATGTGAGTCATTGTTCATGTATGTACATCCACAATCAGCAGCCATCATATAGAATAATACTTACTATAGGAGCACATGATACCCGTGGTTTCGGCATCGAGTGCACGTACAAATGGATGAAGATAAAGTTCATGCAAGGTCTTGTCATCCATGTTGGTGCTCGAGTTGTAGCGATTGGTATCTTGTTCATTTCCAATAAGATGCTTGGATGTTGTGATCATGCCAGAGCTTTGTAAACCAACGACAGTTTCATAAGCGATCTCACCAGTGAGATAGGGGTCTTCGCCTGCAAATTCCCAATTTCGACCAGCACGTGGAGTACGCATCATGTTCATGCCAGGGCCTAAAATGACATTGACACCCTTGGCTCGAAACTCACGACCCATTTCGGCTCCTCGTTGACGAGTAAGTTCACGATCCCAGGATGCAGCAGCATTGATACCAGCAACAAATTGACTTGTGTTGTAGGCTCGACGTAAACCAGTAGGTCCATCATTCAAGCTGTATTCACATAGGCACATCATTAGTCATGTATACGTCTTTGGCTTTTATAAATAAAACCTACCATAATGCTGGGAACAGATTGCCTGCTGCTGCAGTGTTGCCTTCACATGGCTTTGTAAAATAAACATTGAGCATGTTGTTTCATTGTTTATACGATGCATCATTGTCATCCTTACCCCTTGCTCGTTGCCTGTACCAGTGGTAATGTTGACACGCTCCTCAAGCGACATTTGCGACACCAACTTTTTGGCTTTGGTATATGCTTCATCCCATGAGAGCACACCATCGGGCGTTGGCCGGGCCTGAGTCAAAGACAAGAGCCCAACAATGGCTAAAGAGATGGAAACAAGTTTCATCTTCCACTATGGTTGTTGCGTAGTTGATTACAGCTGACAATGACAAGAAGGATGCTGATTTGGATCTCATTATATATAACGTAATGACGTGGCACAAGTTGTTCCCTTACGATTCTCCCATCCTATTAAATGTGCCTTGTTTTTCTCATGACGGTGGTGTTGTGTAGCACTGTTGAATTAAAGGAGATTTCTGGTTTGGGCAAAATTCCCCTATGGTGCAACAAGCCATGATGCGATAATGACTACTGGATCGGAAACGAAGCTGGACCATTCCGTGTTTTTGGATCATCGCATCTCGATGTTAATACCTTACCTATTCCCTTGACTAAGGTAATGGATGTTGCCGCCATTGCTTAAATCAGAGTTTCGAAGCTGCAATGGACCTGGGTTACTCAACTTTCGGAAAAATGACTTTCCCCACAAAACATGTTGTATGAACACTGGTTGTGTAACACGTTAGGAACCACCCCACACCACAAAGAGTGTACACTACGTACTCTGGGAGCGCGCTTCGAGAAAAACCAATCACCTAATATATACCACTTGCACCACTCCTCTAACTTTTCTCCTTGTAATCAACATGCACAAGGTCTCTTTGCCTCATCTAGCATATATGCTATTGAACAAGCATTGAGAAATTGCCATTTAAAGAGAGGGAGAATGTCAAGCAATCCTCTTGGAACATGATAGGCGTGTCTAATGACTTCTATCTACGTGGTGCATGAGCGTTTTTCACGATGCTTATTATATGAAATCATCATGAACGCTTTGCATTTGCATTGCGTCGAGCCTAATGACAGCTATGTATGCTAGCAAGAACCATCGTGAACAAAACATTGGTCATTTTGATGTACATGAGAAAAAGTCGTATCCTTCAAACGGATGTAAAAATTCTCCTTTTGGTCCTTTTGTATTTGAGCAATTGTCCTCTTCTCAGAAGCAGTTACAAACGGCATGTGTACATGTTATGAAAAACACGCAATGATAAAGCAATGACCCCATTCATTCTGCCGTGCTCATTGTCACCATCAAGGGCACAATGAAGCACTAGTTTTATTATTTTCAATGATATCGAGGACTGCTATCCTAATTGCAAAGAAGAATGTATACGTCGACTTGCAAAAATGTTGTGGGAAATGGCGGGGTGAATGGCGCATGAATAGCATAATTCAGCAAGGTCCCAGTTTCCTCTACTTGCTTACAGAGCTAGGAGACGATTGGTTGTGAATGATCCATTATCGGGATACATTGGTATAAATTATCCGTTTGGTAAACTCTCGTGACCTATGTGAAAGACTGGGGATTGGAAATGAAAAATAGGTAGTTGATGTGTCACAACAATCCAAAGAATGTCTCTGATCATGAGGCGCTTCAACGAGAGAGATAGTTTATTGGATGTATCATGCTCACTGTCAAATAGTAGATGGAAGAATGGCCCACCCAATAGGTTATATCAAAGGTGCATGTTCATAATGTGGTTGATCCCCTCCTCTAGTGTCAATGTCTAATACTTGTGTTTGCTGCTACTCTGGGTATCTCCGCGTCAATGGTATAATGCTCTGTCTACAAATGATCGTTTCCATATTCGTGCCAGAATTGCTCTTCCTGCTCCTCCATCTTGTACAAGTCAATGTCTTCCTCATCCACGTATCTGAAATCGATGGTTGATGATCGAACAGCTATTGAACGCTTGTTCCTAATAACACGTACATCAATCCTCTTGTTCACTTTGCTCTTTTCTAATGATAAACTTCAACTTACTTGCGAGCCACAGTGATGAGTCGATATAATTGGACCCCATTACGCACCACCAACAGCATTGTATCAATCATGGCTTCTCGACGTTCACCTGCGGAGCAATCGGCAAAGATAAGGATGAGGAGTGTCACCACACAAAGCAGCACCAACATGGCATCCATTGCGTTCCATAGTGAATGCCAAAACGCCTAAATGAATGAGTGGATCAGCGATCACTCAGGAACCAAACATCCCAACCCAATCCAGTGGATGAATGCATACACGCACGTACATACCTTCCTCAATGCCAAAAACCGTATTGTCACCTCCATCATCATGGCCATGTTAATCACAAACTCGAAAAGTAGAAACAGTGGCGATGGGCTAGTAAGGATCAGTATCAGTAACAAGTTCGATATGATATGCGCGTTGATTTGTTGGAAATGGGGATAGCAGGAGAGTATGCCTACCTACATACCAAGTCTCGCGTAACGACTGTCATGACAAACACACAGTGAAGGGAACAAGAAGCTCTAGTGAGTACGACATGGGGTGGTTGGATTGCGATCGCTCGTTACCATTATTATAGAAAGGACGCTCAAAGCAGCAAGACCGATGTACAAGCCAATGTAGAATCGTGAATACAAGATGCGGTTGGCCATGCCTTGAATTTGTTCAGAGCGAGTCAAACAGAAGGGTGTTCGTGTCAGCGTCATGTCAATGGGGTGTCGTGAACGTTGTGTGGTGAAGAAGAAAACTTGTCTCGTGCGACAGCAGGAGCAGAATAATGGGACAATGACAGATTGGTACGTGTATTACCCCCAACCCACCCAATGAAACTTAAATCTTCCTCCTGCATGCCATCATCACAGTACCCTCAATGGCGTGTGTCCTTCTTCTTCATTTAATTGGTTAAACCATTGCATCGATTCCATATCTTGATTGTATCGCTCTGCTACCTTTCATGTCTAATTCAGGGGTCCAATGATGATAATTAATCACGTGAATATACCCAACTTGGGATGCGCCTAAAGTATGCTGCTGCACAAGGATACCATTGTTGTTTGCTCGTTAAAAAAGGTCAACTATGTATGATGATTGTTATGGGTTTGGACGATGCTGCAGTGAGGGTGTATGGAGGTGATGGATGGTGACTTTTCTCAGCTGACGGTACACATGTTTGATAAAAGGAACATGGTAATTTGATGACGCCCAGTTCCTTGTAAGCTTAATTTATTATGTTCATGAAAGAGTGAAGCTAAAATAGTGTGGCATGGGTACACAACATACGATGCTTATTTCAGGATACGCTATTACAAGCGCTACCTTTATACAACAGCCTGAACCTAAAGACACATCATAGCGTCGTACATACCATTCACTACTCATTCTTTCATAAAGACACTCTTGGATTTATCGCAATTATCGGCCTATTAACCATACCGTGGTTAACTTGAAATAAATTCCATACAGGCTATCATGGTTGCGGATCTTACTATGCGTGTGGGGGAAGGAACTATCATCCGCAATCCATCTGCAGGATTGACCCCTCAACTCCTGCCCTCTCGGCTTGTTACACAAACACACCTCTCTGCATAATTAGCGCTGCTCTATTCGGTTCTAGCTACTTGACATTGAACAAAGGTCGCCTTTCATATAGCATCACGCTTGTAGTATAGTGAAAACATAAAGGCACTTGTATCTCAAAACTTTACAATCAAATGTGGGGTCTTTAATAGAACAAAGCTGCTCGTCGGGGTCAAAGGAATCCTGTGTGCAAGTTTCACGATCAAGCTTGCCAATCCCAGATTTCGCAATGTCGCCACCAGCCAAACTGATCTCGGGGGTCGACTCCTTTCGTTGCAAGGAGGCTTTTGGCCTCAGATTTATTTAAAGGGAGTATGTCGGAGAGTGATACCTCAGTGTGTGACAAAAAAGGAACAAGAATGATAAACGATATGAGGATAAATATACCGACTACGCTGATAAGAGAACGTGCCAACAAACGTTGAGCGTGCGGGTGATAACATGGACATGATGAAAGTGTTGGTTATTGAAAACCTTCAACCAATGTTGCCACATGGCTAAAAGGTAACAGGAAGTGATGGCGAGAAGTTTGGAAAAGGAGACAGTAGAGCGAGAGCAAGTGAGATGCTTGAGGAATCGAAGAAGAGACGCAGCATGGTATGGGCCGTGGAATTGATCATCCCATAGGTTCATCCAAATCAGCCGTCGGTGGCGGTCAAAGGACTAGAAAATGATCCAAAGTATCATCGGCAACATGACAAAGTTGGCAGTGAAGGGAGTCGCTATGGTGTACCATAATGTGCTGGAACGAGCAGGTGGGGATGGTGTTGTGGATGATTCGATACCAGACATTGCGGGCAGAGTGTTCCATAGGTGACGACCAAAAGATCTTCCATGTCTTGCGTGGGGATGGATGGTATGAGCGGTGTTGAAGGTTGACAAATTGATCGGTAGCGACGAGTCGTCCAAGACTTGAGATCAAAATAGGCATCCATGAAAGACGGGCTATGTGAGGCATCCATCCGTGTGGGTGAGAATGGATGCGAAGGATATGGCTCAGCGGGAGAAAAAGCGTTGGAAAGTGATGGAAGTTGGATGTGCTGTTGGATACGGCATGTAGGAGGACTGCACTTATGGCGAGTTTGTAATGGAATTCGGGTCATCGGTCTCCAAAGGATGAAGCCAGCAGACGGATTCAGATAAAAGATATCATGAACCTTGAGGTGACGAAAACGACTTTGCTCAACTTGTGACCAGAGTCATACCATATACAATTGAGAGGTAGCTGCAGGACAACGGATACATCAAAGGAAAGAGAACTAATATCCAAAGACAATCCATAGGCCTTGAAGAATAGCGACGAGACACTGTTGGTAACTTCACCTATGGACTTGCGGCAAGAAGACAAAAGCAAAGGAAATCGATGATCAGGCATGGGATGGATGTGCATGGCGTAAATGATGGGCTAAGGCGAGTGTTGTGTTCCAGTCTGATGAGGGATGAAAAAGAGGATCCAGCCAACGTAATTGGAGAGCACCTTGCTGTTTCTCAGGATCCAAAATACCAAGTCCTCCGAATTCCAATGGTTGACAAAGCTTTTGTAAGCTCACACGAGGAAACATCTGTGCATTAAAAATCCACCCATACAGGCCCGTAGAGACCGAAAGAAAGATGAAGGAGCACCGACAAGCCTGAGCGTGTGCCATATTGCTGACAAGATCAGCATATTGAGTATGGTGGCTCTACCCGAACAGACAACACGATCAGAAAAATCATGACATAGTGAACGCACAGAGGAAAGCACCCTATCCAGATAAACATCTAGCTGACGTTTAGATGAAGCTAAAGGATAGCCCAAATAAACCACTGCTGATGACCAAGTTCGATCGTGACATGTGGGGAATCCAGCCTGTTCCAAAGTCTGATTCCATTCTGTTTTCAGTTTAATCGCTCAACGAAAATGGCTTGAGATTTGCGCATTCAATTTGGCGTTGAAGAAAGCTGATACCGGTTGAGATGGAGCTGAAGGCGTGCGAGATCTTGTGGATTGAAAGAAAGACCATAATATCATCCGCATGTTTCTGACACTTGGAGAGCTGGCAAAGAAGGCAATGGCATTGAGCCTGTGGGGCAGTATTCAATCCGGACACCTGAAAGGAATCATCATCCATGATAGCACGGAGGAGAGGCTCAATTGCCAGGTTGAATAGGATGGGAGAAATCGGGTCGCCTTGTCGCAGACCACGTTATGCGTAAAAGCAGGTGAGAGATGCCCATTAATATTGATTCGAATGCGGGTAGAGAAGAACAAATTGTTGACAGCATTGATGAAATCATCCGGGATACCAAACTTGGAGAGAACTTGACGCAAATAAGATGGGTGAATCCGGTCAAGGCTTTCTCCTGATCGAGAAGCAATGCTATAGAAGAGGACGAATCGTGACCATTTGCCTGCTCCATCGCTAACTTGGCCAACATAAGCCGTTATCGCCATGAATCGGTCTGGCATGAATCCGGTTTGAAATGGATTAATCATTGAGCCCGCAGCTTGGACCAGACGCGCATTCAATAGCCGGGTAAAGATTTTTGCATCGGTGTTGATTAAAGAAATCGGGCGCCACTACGTGTGGATTGGCAGTCTCCTTTCTTTGGCAACAAGGCGGACACGTGTCCTTCCATGAAGATGGGTATATGCCTTGCTGAAGAGCCATATTGAAAACCGCACAAGCAAGAGAATGATAACCAGGGTGCTTGAAAACCAAAAACCAAGTAGAGTAGGAAGACCATCAATCCAGGGCTTGCTCTTGCTTTTGGTGCTCTTTTAGCGCCATCTTGCAAATCGTCAATAGTAAAATCCATCATCAAATCATTCTGCCAACTGGATGATAACATGGAAGAGTGCTGGAAAACAAGCAAGGCATTCCAAGGCATGGTCATCGATTGTTGTGGGCGTGTACAACTCTTGGTAAAGCGGTTGCGGCATCATGGAGGTCATTGATTTCTGAGCACGGCACCTGTAGATGGATGAACAAAAAGAGGTGATCATACGGCTAGATTTCTCGCTTGAGTTGCATTCTTTTTTAAATACCCGTCGCTCTCTCTCCTTTTTCACGCCATCGTGTTGACGAGCTTTCAAAGCTAAGATGTCGACCGTTTCGTTGTAGATTGCTGATTTGTTGCTCGACTCTGGAAGAAACTGAGCAAGAACGTTGGGCGGTGGTTTGGAACGGAGGAGACGATTGCGCTTTGACATTAATGCTTTTTAGTTGTTGTTGACGCCATCGAGTGCGCTGACGACCAAATTGTTGAGTGAAGCGACGCAAAGCTGATTTAAGGTGTTCCCAACGTTGTTGAAGAGAATCAATCGTGTCAAGAGTTGGCCATAAGTTGTTGAGCATCATTACAAGTTCTTGTCGAAATTCAGGAATATAGGAAAAAATTGGGGTTGCCACGCCAATATCCTTTTCCAGTGCTTTGGTGATCCAAGTTGAATGCGTGCGGAGAGGAGAGTATGATCGGTCCATGTTCTTGAGACAAATTCAACGTCCCCATGTAGGATAAAGCTATGAAAAGATCGTGAGGCGAAAAATAAAATCCAATGTAGAATGAAAAGACACACCGGTACGATATGTTGGAAGATAAGGATGAAGTATCGGTGATGCAATCGACAAAGTTGAGCTGTAATTGTGAAACCCATCGATGAGAGATGCGATCACGTGTTGATTGTTGTTGATAGACGTTGAAGTTGAAGTCTCCAGTGATGATGAGCCGATCAGTATAGTGAGATCAATCGATGTGAAAAATCGGTGAATCCAAAAGTGCTGTGTAAAACAATCGACGTTGTGTTGTACTTGATGCTGGTGCATATAAGGTGAGTAGAAAGAATGATGCAAAAGTCTGATTGTGTGATGACTTTGGTGAAGATAAAACGTTTGTTGAAATCGCTGTTGCTTGAGATCGATTGATATACGTTGAAATGATAAGTCGGAATCGAGTGATACGATGCCGGTGATGTGACTCAAAGAGATTGTTGAGATCGAAATAGCATGTTGAATGTTGTTGTTGTGTCGTGATCGATGGCGTTGGTTTCTTGTAGAGTGATGATATGAGGTGATGAAGGATGTTGCCGGAGATATCGGATGAGAGAGTCCCTGCTGATGTATTGGTGATTTTTCGTAAGCTGTTGCAATTGAGAGATGATAGATTCAGTATGTTGTCTTTAATCATGATTAAATTATTGATACGTAAGATTGGGGTCCTGATGCTGCTCAGGACCCAAAGCGTTACCATGTGCATTGTTCATAAGCCGTGATGTGTGTTGACCAGAAATCCATAGCCCTTGCATGTGTTCAATGAGCTTTGGGGGCTTGCTCACCATATGAATCATGAGACGTTGTTTTTTCAATGGTGAATTTTGAGATGTCCTCTTTGGGTACACATCAGGAGGCGTAGGTGATCATACCAATGGCGGGGCACTTGATAGACAGCTCCTGAAAGAACCTCTGGGTGGTCATCCACGCATTGGTCGAATGTGGTCAAAATTGATCGGTTGCTTCTTCTAGTTCTTGATTCGGTTCATCCGTATCCATGCCGTCGGCATTCGAGGGCTCTTCACCTTCACTGTCAGCGGCATCTTGTTCGGCAAGATCATCCCAATCCACAGACTCGGTAGGCAAATCCTTGGCATGTTGAGAGGCTGGTGGTGATGATGTTGTGATACGTATAGGAGAAGCTGCAGTGGCACTTTGTCGGAAGGAGTAGGTGTGGTGTCCTTCTCAGGTGTCACAGGTAATGCATCATGTGTTGTAGCATTGGTGACAGGAGGTTGAGCACGAGTCTTTTCTTTCTTTTTTGTTGTAAATTCAATGAACAGAATTGGAACGTGTTGGACACTCGGCAGCATTATGTCCATTTTCCCCACAAGCATAACATGGTCGATGTTTTGTGGGTTGTCGGGACACAGGCGTACATGGTGTCCTGGTTGATGACATCTGCACAGTGTAGCTCCATTTCTTTCCAAGTAGCGTAGAAAAATCATTGTTACACCAGCTGATAGTGTGAGAGAGAGAGGACCACGAGGTTGAATCATCAGCTGTTGGTGTACGATCCAAAACAGCAAAACCTTCTCCCATAAACATTTGTGAACGTGTTTCACGATAGATCCCACAGTCGAGTACTCTTCCAAATGAGCGAAGACTCATTTTGAGGCTCTCACAAGGGCAGGGATAGGCATTCGAGGGAGATGTCAGTCGAATACGCGCAATATCCACGTCAGAGCTCATAGCACGGCAAGGGATGATACGCATGCCATCGTCAAAAAGAACGCCTTGCTGGAGTGCTGTTTCAATCTCGGCTGCAGTAGCAAGATACACCAACAAGAACCCTAGGCCTGTTTTATGGTATCACCACCACAGTTGTTAGGATACGCCTTGCTGATCGCCAATACATCATGCAACCGTTCGCCACGGCTGCTAACGTCAAAGAAAATGCTTGAAACCGAAGCTGGGGATCCATCCACCACGAAACACATTGGTGTTTACAATGCGTTCAGCTTTTGTCGTATCCGAGTTAGACGTTACTGTCTTGGTCGTCACCTCATGGTGCAGATGAGCGGATTCACGATTGCGACTTGCAACCTTTGCATGTTTATCTGGCATGGGAGGGTTACAGGTGTTGTAGGGCCTGTTTCCTTTATCAGGCAAATTGGTCGAATTCGGGAAGACATGGTCGACCTCGACGACGACGACAAAAATATTTTTTGGGCTAGTTGCGACATTGAACGTGAAACTTTCTACACGAGGTGCTGTTGGCCAAGCCGAGCCCATTGCTCTAATAAAAACACCACGTTTCATTGTAAAGTTTGGAGATACAGGCACCTTTATGTTGTAAGCGTGATGCTATATGAAGAGTGGTCTTTGTCTATTGTCAAGTAGGTGGACCCTGGCAGAGCAAAAAGATGCAGAGGGTCGTGTTGTGTAACAATTAATAAAGCCACGTTTGCATGAATGAAAGGGTCAATCTATAATTACTTTATGGATCATCTAGGAACAGGCATGTATTGCTAGCTAACGGCCACCTTTATCCAGTCATCATTATTGCGAGATCCACTGCATGGGAACGATGCCCTGCTCCACATTCATTTCCATGATTAAAGTAGGTTGATCCGAGCGATTTGATCGAGCTGCGGTCAAAGAGATTACATCACTCTGGACATCAAGCACGCTCGATGTAGCTCAACCGATGTAATTCGTGCGAGCGTAACTCAACCAAATCAACTCGGATCAACATAATCCAATCATGGAAATGAATGTCTAGAGCAGGAGCATCGTCCACCTACAATAGAATGCACAAAAGTTGGGAATGCACAAAAAGTGGCTATTAGCTGCCAATGTATGACATAAAAGTGAGGGTTGCGTACCTTTCATGCATTGTCCCTGAAGTCCTGACTTTTAGCTGAGTTACCCAGAGGTCCTTCTGCATCTTTTTGCTCTGTCAGGGTCCACCTACTTGACACGAACAAAGACCACTCTTATATAGCATCACGCTTACAAACATAAAGGTGCCTGTATCTCCAAACTTTACAATGAAACGTGGTGCCTTTATTAGAGCACGGGCTCGGCTTGGCCAACAGCACCTCGTGTGAGTTTCACGTTCAATGTCGCAACTAGCCTCAAAAATATTTTGTCGTCGTCGTCGAAGAGGTCGACCCCCAGATCCAGTTTGGCTGGTGGCGACATTGCGAAATCTGGGATTGGCAAGCTTGATCGTGAAACTGGCACCCAAGGTGCAGTTGGCCAAGCCGAGCACATTGCTCTAATAAAACCCCACGTTTCATTGTAAAGTTTGGAGATACAGACACCTTTATGTTTGTAAGCATGATGCTATATGAAGAGTGGTCTTCGTTCAATGTCAAGTCGTTGACCCTGGCAGAGCAAAGATGCAGAGGGACCTCTTTGTGTAACTCAGCTACTTGCATGACTAGAAGGATGGAAGGATGATACTATATACCGTTGACAAAAGCCCGTACATTGCGAGCTAAATAAAAGCCATTTCCTCACAATAGCCACTGTTGTCCACTCCATGACATGCGGGCGATTCTCCCGTTTCAGACATTCATTTCCATGGATTGATTATGTTGATCCGAGTTGATTTGACCGAGATACAGCCAAAGAGGGATTACATCAATCCACATCTAACCATGCTCTATGCTGCTCAACCGAAGTAACCTGTATGAGCGTAGCTCAGCCAAATCAACTCGGATCAACATAATCCAATCATGGAAATGAATGTCTGAAGCAGGAGCATCGTTCCACCGTCATAGAATGCACACAAGCGATTGTGAGAAATGGCTGTTAGCTCGCAATGTATGGGATATTGTCAATAGTATCTGCTTTATCCTTCCATCCCTTCTAGTCATGCAAAGTAGCTGAGTTACACAAGATAAACTCTGCACTATGTCCGAGCGATTGAACGAAGATCATACATCAAGTGCCATAAACATAGCAGTTCTAAACTTTACAATGAAACGGGGGTTTTTATTAGAGTTGTTGGCTCGCTTAGCCAACAGCACCTTGTGTGAAAGCTCACGTTCAATGTCGCAACTAGCCCAAAACTTTCTTGTCGTCGTCGGACTTCAGATCCAGTTTGGCTGGTGGCGACATTTGCGGTAATCTGGGATTAGCCACGATGAACTTGAAACTTCGGCACCCAAGGTGAAGCTGGGCTGCCGAGCACACTGCTCAATAAAAACCCCACGTTCTATTGTAAAGTTTGGAGATACAGGCACCTTTATGTTTGTAAGCATGATGGCATGAAGAGTGGTCTTCGTTCAATGTCAAGTCGCTGACCTGACAGAGCAAAGATGGAGAGGGACGTGTTTGTGTACACAGCTATCTTGCATGACTGGAAGGATTGATGGATTATACTTTTATGGCTATCCACAATAGTCCATATTACGCGCTATCAGCCATTTCTCACAATCAGCGTTGTTGCAAAATCCACTGCATGGAAATGATTCTCCTGCTCCAGCCGGCATTTCCACCGGTCCAAGTTTCTTGATCCGAGCCGATTTGACTGAGCTACGCTGGAACAGCAAACATGAAAATTAATGAATCGCAGACTGCGAATGTCTCCGTCTTTCAAACTTTTGCACGCACCCATTCCAAATTTCTCAAATGAAGGGGGAAGTTTTTATTAGAAAAAGCTGATCAGCTTGCTCGAGAGCACCATTGTGACCAATTTTCAAGTTGGAGGTGGACAACTTCGGGGCGGTGGGCCGTTCACTCTTTATTGCCATTCATCCACCATTTGGACACCCCCGCATTTTGAATCTTCACAATGAAGCTATGGTTTTTAAATGAATGAGGTTGATCAGCATATCCCATCGAACCTTCTGGCAAAGTTTCAAGTTCGAAAAGGAGAATCCCAAGGTATACATACTATTTCTGATGAATCATGAATCCGGCGCTGACATGCTCTCCGATCTCCCAGTAAATTCCACATTGTACCCTCCTTATCCAATGTTTTTAAATGAACACGAGGTCTTTTTAGATCAACATAATCAGCATATCCCAGAGTACTCTTGTGTGAAAGTTTCAGGTTCGAGAGGGGCACCTCAATATCAAGGTTTGATGTACAGCAAGCCTGTGCATTTATACAAGAGGTGTCCGATCGATTTACTTTCCACTTCTTCCACTCTCAGCTCTTCCCTCTTCCTCCCATTCCTAACCGCGCCCCGATTCAAGCATACAACTACCACCTGCGAACGTATCGTCCTGCTTCAACACTTCATGCCAATCCTACAGCTCTCTTGATCCCATTGTCTTTGACTGAATGGTGCAAGTCGATGGCGTACACAGCCTTCTTGCCACTCTTCACAACACACGAGTCTTGACACAACACACGTTTCTGCACACCCTCTGCCACAACCAGTCGTAACAGCATTCATTGCCGTGCTGCTATTTACGCCATTGTCTCGATCGTCGTTCTTTACGTGCAGCAACTTGCCCCCACCACCTTGTTCACGTGTGCAGCAGATAGCCATTATATAGAAGCAGCCTTAGCTACATGTAGCAACTTCGTTTCAATACATGCGACTTCTGCGGATATGGATATGGATATGGATAATGGTTTGGTATATGGACATGGATGTGGGTATGATACGGATGTGGATGTGGATTTGTATATGGTTATGGATATGAATATGGATATTGCTCTGGTTTGGTACATGGAATGGAAGGAATTGAGTATATACAACGCGTGAAAAAAGAGGGTATCTATTGTCAACTTGCTTGATACTTCATCCGCACGATTGGTGCATCGAATTACCTTGCATTACACCCTATTCGCTGTTACTATCATCATCCAGCTCCATGTTCTTGACACGCCATGCATATAATTCGCCTTCTTCACATGCATTCATCCACCTCTACACAATGCACCCCCAAATGATAGCATTACCCATAACGATGTATCCCCTGAAGCATTTTGTTGTACCTCTCGATCTAATCTTGCGAATGATGTTGGATTACATAAAAAAGCTACATCCTTTATCGGATACGACTCCCTGCATTGGCGAACCATGTCTAAGACTTGTAAGATCTTCCTTCTCTTGGGTTGGGACTCGTCGTGTGAGAACATGATGCATTGTGCTATGTATAGAAAGGTTTATGGTACAGTATGGCAGATGTCGGATATATAAGCAACTATGCACTTGTAGATGCTGTGATAAAGGAAAACAGGGGAAGAGATAGGTCTGATTGATTCATTGTGTTCTGAACAAAGGCTGTATTCGATAGCATAATCCTTCCTTTCTTTTGTGCTGGTCCTGCTGATGCACCGTAACAAAAATTAGATCAGCAATACGTAACTGAACGAAGTACAATG